TGCTCCCTAACAGCACTTGCCCCAACAGTCTGTTCAGGCTATAGGGGGGATATTTGTGTATGATAATCGGTTGTTTATAAATATCAGCATCGTAATTATCATCAACTGTGCCATTTCGCTCCTGAACATATCGCCACACGCAAGAATAGAATTCACCATGTTCAATCCACTGCTGGATGAAGGCACGCGAGGCATACAAACTGGTGAAAACTCCCACAATTATGCGCCACAGTTAATCTTGTTTTTTTTTTTTACTAATGTTACATTTAGGTCATTCCGGTGAACAAAACTGTACAAATGAGATAATGTTAGTGTTAACTATTCACATGAAAATTTAAATACTGGTCGTTAGGATGTTTTGTTTTAATGTCATTCTTATCAGGCCCCATGGTATTAAGTGCAGTCTCCAACTCTTAGCACTCACTCTCTCCTGGCCTGTGTATCTGCTACGAAGAAGGCAAGGGACATTGCCCGAAACGTCGCCAGTTATTGTTTTCCTTTTAAGGCCACGCTATTGAAGAACGTGATTATTTTGTGCTGCGCTTTAGTTGTGATTGTGCGCCACTGTATGTATGTTGAACTTCTTTCGCAGCGTACGTAGCCAACCGTGCTAATCGGAGGTGCCGGGGGGGGGGGGGGGGACGGTCAACCAAACCAAACATAAAAGCAGTTCTAAGTAGATTCGTTCCCACTGTCTATGCAAGCAGGATCACCACCACTGCAAAATCTGTACAAATGATAGGGAGTGGGGGCGGGCGGGGGAAAAAACGAGACTCAGAAAATGTCAATTCCCCAATTCTCGAATCTTCTGTCGTCTGTCGTATGGCAGGAAGGGAAAGGGACAGTTTTTTTTTTCTCTACCAATCCAAGTAGGCCAGCCCCGGCCTACTTAGACCTGTCACACAAACAACAATTACATTTTCTTTTCCCGCGCTTTCAGATTTTTAATCCGTAAATTAATACCATATTATTGTTTTCTTTGGGTCTTTCGGTAATGCCACGTAGATGGGAAAATAATAAAATAAATAAAACAATAACAATACCACGACATTTCGATCGCAACACAAGCAATCGTCATCAGGTGAAAAATACAGCGGGAGAGCTGCTGAGGCAGGAAAAATATATGGCGGGAGCGCTGCTCAGGCAGGGTGTTACAAAGGTTTGAGAGGTTCGTATAAAGCTTCGTATTATTATTATGCTTTTCATGTTCATAGGCTCAACAGTGTGGTCCGCGGGTGGTGCATTTGAATCCAAACCGGCACCGCTGTCCGATTGAGTTTGACGACCTTTGAAGCAAGCCGTGGCAGCAGCAGAATCATCAGCAGCAGAATCATCAGCAGCAGAATCATCAGCAGCAGCCTCTGTGTGGATCACGCAGACGACACGGCCTGGACGTTACACGGATGACGCGTCCGTCGGTGACGGCGGCGGCTGCGGTGGTGGCGGCGATGGCGTTTTGATGATGGCTTGGACTTCGCGGCCGCAGTCGCAGCGTTGGAGAGCGCGGCGTAGCGAGGAGGTCCGTTGGCGGTCATGGTCAGAGAGAAGCCCCGTGCCTCCATCAGTCGGGTGCCCAATGAGCTTTTTCTTTGCCTCGTCCATCGCCGCTCACGGACGTCTGCTGTGCTTTATTTATTGGTTTTGCTTTTGTAAATTTGGTGACCCAGGTCACTGACGCAGATGAGATGTATCACGGTATCTTGGCTTCTAACCTGGTTAAACAAAATGAATTTGACTTAACGTCTCATACTCTTTGGTTCTATTCGGTAAAGTCACGTAGGTAAAAATAAAATAACAAAAAAAAAGCGGTTAGCGCATTGTACTCCGGCGACCTGAGTTCAATTCCCAGCCACGATCAACGTCGAAGACGAGTGAAATCCGAAACAACCTGTGAAATAGACACGGCATGGGGGAAGCCTTCATCCAGCAGTGGCTTAACAAGGGGCTGTAAATGTCTATTCTTATTATGACCGTTGAATACTTTCACTGTGTATTAAAAATCCCATTTTAATCGCCATTTGTAGTCAGTTTGGCTGAAGCCACGGCACACGCACAAAGATAAGCTGTCTCTAATCTTTCCGTTTGGCTCCAGACACATTGGCACGGGTGCGTGGGCGCACCACCACATCGTTAGATATGATGTCAAACAGGGACATCATAGCGAGCTGAGGTATTTCGCACCCGACGATGGCACTAGCCACCGGCAAGGAGATAATGAGGGACGTGTTCTCTGTGTTCCTCCGCCTTAATACGACACACACACTTTGGACTCTGTACATTGAATGTTGAGACAAGTTCAACTAAAAGCGTACGCGTGGAATGCGCGCAGCGCTTTCCAACACGCGTCTTGTCTCCCCGAGTATTTAATTAGCTGCTCGTAGCTGTCGTGGTGGTGGGGGGGGTGGACGTTTTTATATTTGCAAGCGTTAAAAAAATCTTCTCTCTCGGTATTTTTTTTTGTCTCCAGGTTTTTTCGGGAAACAACCCTTTGATTAATTCGGTCGGTATTTCGGGTAAGTCCCTAATACCGAACGCAACTTTTGACTAAAGTTTCGCTCATATTAGAACATCGTTATTTATCGTGATCCAGAGCTGATGCACCAACCCGTTTGCAACCTTATGGGTCGAAGCCGTTAGAAATGGGACGGAAGATGGCATAATTTATTCGCCATTTCTGTAAGATGTATTAACAGCGGCTATCGCTCGAGCTTAAAAATGGTATATGGCTCATAAAAAATGCTGAGATGAAAATTCACCACCAATGACATGCAGGCTAGGTGGATTCTTCAAGTGCGTTGCTCACAGGGGCGGAGCCAGGATTTTGACTTTGGGGGGGCTGACTTCAATATTCTGAGATATCCAGTGTATGTTTTCAATGGCGCCACAAATAGGTCGGAGCCGCTGATGTGGCTAAGTTCGATAAGTTCGAAAGGTTGCCGCTCAAGCAGCCTGCAGGGCAGCACAAGGTGACAGCCAGCATTTTACAGCAGCCGGATATCCGATTATCCCGATTTACCGACTTTCCCAAAATTTCAGGGGGGGCTATGCCCCCCCCCCCCAGCCCCCCTGTGGCTCCGCCCCTGGTCGCTCATGATACCTTGCTGATCTCGTGAAGGAGCATAAGCCATCACGCGAACTCCGGTTATTCTTACAGCAGCAGGCTTTTGGCTAGCCATCGAACAAAGACGGTCACCGCATCGAGAGCACTTTCAGATGAGCTTCTGCGGCCGTCTGGAATGCTCTTCACTTTCGAAATAAGGACGCCATTGGAACTATGCAATTTTAAATCTAGATTGCAAACTAATTTCCTCAGAACAGTTTCTTTAGGGCTTAGTTTGTCATTCACTCGTGCCTCCAATTAGCACGGTTGGCTACGTATGGTGCGAAAGAAGTTCAACATACATGAGATCTGCCCAAAGGGATGACTTAGACAAGGGGTGATGGAGGTGGCGGGGTGAGGGGTGGGAGAGCAATAATTGAGTTGGCTCTCTTTTCCATCCTTTCAGCCCAACCCCGAGGACAAGCAACGTTACAAGCCATATTATGATGCATGTCATCATCATCAACGGCCATGGTCAATCCACCGCTGGACGAAGCCACTCCCAAGCCTTCACAATCATTACACAGTTGTTATATGTGGAACGCAATGACTTCAGACACGGACCGTAGAGGGCTTCTCATTTATTTCTCGTCAGCATACAGCTAAGGACTTTAATGACGCAGTCACTGTTACTTATCCCTGGCTGACTATACAGCTGGTTGACTATAAAGCGACGACGACGATGCTAACTGTGTAGTTCTATGGATCTATATAGTGAGCGGCGATCATGACGAAGAAGAGGCGGCAGCAACGACGATGATGAGGACCCCGAACTCCCCGTGCGCTCAGAAACCCCCGTTCACACTCCCCCTTTAAATACCCCCGAGCGCGGCCATGCCACTCTTCACGAAGTCTCTCTTTGACCCTTGGACTAGTTTTCACCCTGTTCTATGGTTCTTTCGGCAAAGTCACGTAGATAGAAAATCAAATAAAAATAATAAAAAATAACAGAAGTAAAAAATGTCAAAAATAAAAAATATATATTAAAAAGAACCGTAGAATATGAATTCCTGCAGTCACGAAATTTTAAAGTCGAAATTTAGTTTTCCTACTCTAGTTGTCGCTCACACATCCCTTGTGATGAGACTTTGTAGGATGAACGTTGTGATTTATAACGGGCACGGGATGACCAATAAGGTCTGGATTGGTCTGTAATAAGGTAGGCGCTCATAAGGGGTTGACAGGTATGTGTATTATTGATTATATTTACGTCATATGTGTGTATGAATGTTAAACTTCTTTCGCACCGTACGTAGCCAGCCGTGCTAATCGGAGGTGCGTGGAGAAGGACAACAAACTAAACACACACAATTTCAGTTCTAAACAAATTCCTTTTCAATCTAGATGACTTAAAAGAGCATAGCATCCAGCGGCTTCCGAATATCGGAAGAGCGTTCCAGACGGAGGTGCCAATTATGGCTGTCGCCTGATGAAGCTGGTTGTAATTACTGGCGAAACGTCGTACTCTGTAAATGTTGTGGCTTGGCTCTCCAACACACGCCGGTGTGCTGTACTCGTGACGAATTGGCCACGTTCTGTTTACGTGACAACCCTTACTAGTTGTTCTGTGTCGGGTTGTGTCGGGTTTTAACGACACATTTGTATATTTACTCGATCTAACCCCAACCCCCCTCCCCTGTGTTATGGGTGCCAATTATGATTAACCTCAATCGAGCATTAGTTCGTATCGTTAATTTCCTCCTAAACACAAAACACACCCCACAAACACACACACACACGTGCGCACGTGTGTGTGTGTGTGTGGGGGGTATGTTGCGCGTGTTTAGACCTGTACACAATTTTTTTGTCTTTAAAAAAAAAAACCCGTTCAACTTCAATCTGTGGCCCTGCAGTGATCTCACACGTGAGAGAGAGAGACAGAGAGAGACACAGAGAGACAAGAGCCGGTTCCGAGTTGAAGCCGCGAGACCCGGGTAACCCGGTCCATGCCTCGCCCGCCTACCTTCGCAACACGAGAGAAGGGGTGGTGGTGCTGGTGGTGTGGTAGTGGTAGGGGGGTGGTTGTTGTGTGTGGAGAGAGAGAGAGAGACGCCGCGAAACACCGTAACACCCAACACCGCCCTTGCCTTCCCTTACCCCCGGGTCTTCTTGTTCGCCCGTAAATAAATCGCCAGTCGACCGGGTGAGTCGCGTGATTGTTGATAGCGAACGGGGGCGCGGTTGTGTCGATTTGCGTTTTTGATTCAAAGTTCGGCGAAATTTGCGGCCGATTTTTCGTGTTGACACCGGCTGCGGCCTACGCGAGTCGTGCTCGGGGTGGGGGGGGGCGGCGGCGGGCGGCACCGAGGCTCGGATAGAAGCTGGGCCGGGCTGGGCGATGCCTTTGCCGGCAGGCCGAAACAGGTCGATCCCGTAACCGCCACCGATGCTGTTATAACGCTGTAACGCCGCGTTCAATCTTACGATAGTTGAATGCGTCAACGTCAGCAGCGTAGAAGGTGTTCATGACTGCGTATGTTCTGTTGGAAATGTACAAAAAAAAAGTATGTACGGTATAGTATAGTTCGTGCGACGTGTACGTGTCCGTACGCGCTGCAGTCACATGAACCGTCATCCAGGGTCTATCCACTGCTGGATGAAGGCGTCCTTCCCTCCAAGCCGCCGCCTTTATCGCGCTTATGCTGCGGTGATGTACCACAAGCCGCCTAGCAACTTGCACACGAGCGAGATTCCGTCGCTCCATCTTCCTCGCTTTGACGTCCTCTCGTAACGCGCCTATCCATCCCTTGGGGGGGGAGGGTGGCACTGGCAGCATTATTTTAACAATAAGTGAAGTGCGTGATCAATAAACAAAAGCCAACGGGCATTTTAAATAGCCACGTTTTTTTTTGTCCATATTACAGTCTGCGGAGAGTTTGACAAAAGTTGCAGGCTCGAAACGCGCGTTATTTAACGTTTATATTGACAGCCACGTATTCAAGTTGACGGCTCATTCAATATAGTGAACAAGCTTGACCATGCTTCACCACGCGGGTAGGTGTAGCCGGGGAGGAGACTTGCTCGACCATCTCTTGCCACTTTGCTTAGCCGTGGCCAGGAATCGATCTCATCATATTCTTATTGCCTGGGTTCACTCTTATTCTGCGCTAACCACTGCGCTACCGTTTCACCCCCAGTCCAAAGTTAGATTTCAAAGTCACGGCTGGTGTTAAGTTACACTTGCACACATTTGGGAGACGTGAATGCTATTAAGCATATTTGTTTTATGGCTAAAACGGAACGCCCATTGGCTATCATTAAATATTACACACGTAGGACGGTGTCACACCCCCCCCCACCCCTTGTCGACTAGTTTTCTTGCGGGATTAGATTCGACTTTGGCGGTACACGTTGACAGGCCGCAGGGGGGGGGGGGGTGGACCACGGTAGTCTATTTCAATTACGAATAAACATCGTTTTGCCTTTCACAAAGTGGCCCATTGGCGGATGTTGGTTAACGTCTAACCGTGTAGCTTATTAACTTGCCGGTGCCGTTCACGTAAAATAATGGTCATTCAAATATTCCACACCAGGAATTCGCCACGAAGTGACGGTGACGTCACCACGGCGCCTGTGCCAGGCTGCGTGCACTCTGAGACAGCCACGTGAAGTGTCGAAGGCCTCGCTCGCTGCTGACAGGGGGTCTCGGGACCAGACTCTATCAGTGCCCGATGGGTTGTCTGACTGAGATGACCGGTAGATGCACCACCAGCTATAACCACCCCCTCCCCCCCCCTACTGTACCAACTTGTTTTATTTTATCCACCCGGCGCTCCGCTCGTTGTTGTGAGCGTCGCTTCTCTGTTGTTGGAGGGCGACTGCCGCCTCTAAACTGCCCAGTAGCGTCTGTCACGAGCCTCCTCAAATATGGAAATATGCCACGCACACGCTTGCCTTCAAACTGCTTGATCGAATTGCCGCAACAATGTTCTAAGTACGTGTGCTCTATGAAGGATACGCCCTCTGGTAACAAGATATCGTATCTCAGCTGTGCGTTTCCTCTCCTCAATGCGGTAGCTGATGTCATTATCGGAGTCACTGGTCGCTCAAGATATATTATTTTTTGCGCAACTGCCAAACGCAACGTTGTTCGTAACTCGCGCTACTTCCGTAAGCGTCTCCAAATCGCGCCAGCGCTCCGTAATTTCTGTTCGAAAATAGCCCCAGATTTGTTGTCGTTAAGCACGTGTCAATATGTATTCTCTGGAGGGGGCTTTAAAATATTTTCAAAGGGGCGTTGTGGTGTGGAGTCTTGACTCGTGAACAGCGTAGCAGAAGGAGGAGGAGGGGGGTGGGCAACCGAGCGTCTTTTTTTTCTTCTGGTCAGACTAGATTTGCCACGGTGTGCGGTTGAGGCGATTTTTTTTTAAAAGGATACATTTTAATTCATTTTAAGCGGCACCACCCAACTCAATGCCATCATATCCACGAGCTATTGGCAGCTGTCGGGTTGGTGGTGTGCGCGATAGGCTATGGGCGTGGTTGCATATCGTGACTTGTCGGCTCCCTTTTCATGGCAGACGCGGTTAAAATAACGCTAAAATAAATACACGTCGTCAACGAAGCAGACGCAGCTGCTGTGAAGTGTTGTGCGTCGTGAGTTGTCACTCTTATTTGGGCGCGCACTCTTGTGCAGAAATATACGAGTGAACGTGCACGCGTAAACACGGCGGTGTAAACAGAGTGATTGGATGACAGCGTCGCGAGGTTGGGTGGCAGACTTAATTCAGCAGTGGCTTAACCGTAACCCACGACGATGATACAATAAACAGTTGCCACGTGTTAGCACTTTATGAACAACATTATTTAAAAAAAAATGTTATTGCAAGGCTTCCTCCCTCCAAGATCACATTTTTTAAAACATGAAGTTAATTGTTTCTCACTTTCACAATGAAGTAAACGGACTTGGTCCAAACTACGTGTATGACAAAGGGCAGCATGATTTTGAGAGAAAATAAGTACATAACATTAGCTCTGCCTTAATAAAATGTCGCTGTCATTAGGTGTTTTTGGCTGATGCTTGTACGAAACATGCCTAAGCTGTCCCTTGAGTTTTTATCAGAAATGACAGTGAACACTGGGAGAAACTGATAAGGGCTCATGTGTTTTTTTATTCTATCTCAGAAGACTGTAAGCCTGTATAAAGCCGATTACAGATATTTAATCTCATACATTTTCATACGCTGAATGTATGTATGCCGCAAAACTTTTACCAAACTGAGCGCCCGTCAACATCTCGGGCCAAGAAAAGCCCGCAGCGTGTGGAGATTTAATCATGCCGATTACCTCACTTCAATATATTTGTTACAAAGAATTAAGGCTTAATTAATGTGTGGCTGATTTACTGTGATTAGCACGTTGCAGACCAGGTTTTCCAGCTGTGAAATGTAATTGTTGCAAAATGCCTCCCATAAATTACAGCAGCCCTTCCCATAACCCAACCCCGTGCCCTGGGCCAGATTTTGGTATGTATTCTTTGTAAGCATTACATTATTTTTTTAACTTAAGCTACCAGTGTACTGGATTTCCTTAGGGCCAGATTTAGGTATGTTGCCTTTGTAAGAATTACATTTTTTTAAAAAAGCTTAACTACTAGCAGTGTGCTGGATTTTCTGTACAGTATGAGAATTCACCAAACTCCAAAACCAAACCTGTAATGTTTAAGACTTGTATAGCTCGTAACCGATTATAGTTGCATTAACAATATAACTATTTACATCCCTTTGGCATTACACTGCTGAATGAAGACCTTTGGCATTACACTGCTGAATACCATGTTGATTTGAGAGTTATTTAACTATACTTCCCCACCCTGGTCCATGCGGTTTGGTGAAGGGAGCGGCCCAGGACCATTTGCAATATCACTCGCCACTGATGTTAAGCCATGGCTAAGAGTCACCACTCTTATACTCTACTAGCGATACTACCCGGCTTCGCCCGGGACTTGGATTCACCACGCCCGGCCGCCTTTGTCTCCCCAGTGGCGATGTTCACACACCACACCAGTTACTTGTTTGAGGCTGAGTCAACCTAGAGGAGGCCCAGGACCGGTTCAAATAATGGTCACCGGCGGTGGCCGTGAGCGGGTATCGAACTCGGGTCGCCGGGTTCGTAGTGCAGCACGCTAACCACTACACTACCGCTCCCCCCACACACACACACACACGCGCGCGCGTCCATAGTTACACATACACGCGCTTTCTGCAGACTTCACACAACTTTCAGGGTGCGTACGGCAGTAAACGACTCAAATAATAAACCAATGCTGCGCGAAGAATGCCTTCGACCTGCAACACATTTGTATGGCACTGTACCCGCGGAGGGTTGGGGGGGGGTGACATGAGCAGGCACACTGCGTTACGTTTTTGCATTAGCGAGTGACATGACAGATGTGACGTCACAGCTCACTTGCCGTGCAAAATATATGCATTAATGCCCCCCCCCCCCCAAAAAAAAAAGTACAAAAGTCTATTTTTATAATTTTTGCATGGTGTACAGTCTGGAAAGTACCCATTTTGAACAGACACACATTCACAAATTTCCCTTTTATATAGATAGATTATCATTCATAAACTTGTTATTCAACTTAAAAAAAATGCGTGTTCTTGAAAAACTGCGGACAATTAGGCTTCTACACAATAGTAGCCCTGTATTGATACACCGATACACGCATCACATTGCGCACATGATAATCGAACGTTGTTTCATTTGGATATGTCATATGTGATCGGCTCACATCCCCTCAGCCTACAGCTACTGCATTCACCACGATGCCAAAAACAAATAGAATCTTGATTTAAATCCTGTTCGCGGTTCATGAAATCGAATTATTATATGCCTGCTCAATGTTTGCTCGAAATGCTGGGATGCTAACTGCTGGGAATTACTTTTCTTTGTATAATCCAGGTCCCTGTTGGATGGTGGTCAAATCGAGCAGAGCCTGCCAGCTGGACACTTGGCCACGTTGAAGCCTGCATAGCATCACTCGTGTGTGGATGCGCTGCTCGTCGGAGGGCGGACATGAGCTCGTTGAAGCCCAGCGGGCTAAAGGCCCCCAGCAAGATTGCCAAACCGGCCAGTGCGATCGCCAGACCCTGCAGAGATGGTGAGTGATAATTATAAATAGCCCATTTCCCACGTTTACGTCATCGGAACGGAATCAATTCCGAAGGGAATCGAAAGTAAAAGGCCGTGCGGGATGGCGCGTGGCACAGTTTGGCGCCAGCTTCTGTATAGTACGCTTGTGTTGGTAAAGTTTTCTGCGATGAGCACTGCAAAATGTCTTTTAAAAGCAGCAGCGCTGTACCTCTCTAAATAAAATTAACGTGAACCGCTTGTGCGTGCTGAGATTCGGCGGTGAACGGGACCCACCCTGCAACTTGCAGACGTCTCGGAAAGGGTAAAAGTCCAAAGTCAAAGTTGTTTTCTTCACAAATGAACATTGAGGCGGTGCTCATTTGTACCCTCGAATGACACCCACTAAATGAGCCTAACAGGTCATGGGCCCTTCCTGCTAAATAAAAATCTAATCTGTTTACAGCCCTGAGCCATTTGGTGGACATTCCTCAATCTTATGGTGGGGGAAAGTGTCTCCATAGGATAACCACTATTGACTTCCCCACAAAGTGATAATAATTTTGTCGATTCCAGAGGGATGATGGGCTGAGTTAACACCCGACCAAGATTTGAACTCGCAACCTTCTAGCACTGAGCCACCTGGCTGCTTACAAATACTCATGCCTTTAAACCTCTTTCCGCCATGCAATTGGGTTGTGCCGAGCCAGACTGCCACATTTCAGGTTTCACCAGGTCGTCTTTTCACTGCAGAAGCCGAGCCGTCCTGCTGACGTCACGCGCAGTCAGTCAATCAAGACGCACGTAGATGCCATGTGCGTCTTGAGGTGCCGCGGTGACGAGATGTTAACTACCTCACCTGGCATGCAGGAGGTCGTGGATTCGATCCCTACCCTGACTCGTGTTGTATATTTAGAGTTTGAATGTTCTCCCCGTGGTCGCGTGGGTTTTTCTACAGGCCCTCTGGTTTTTCCCCTCCACATTTAGGATCAACATGCATTTAAGAGTATTTGGCTGCCATAAATGTCCACATGACGATAAGCCACTTTGTTGAGCTATCATTTGTGGCCAGGTTGCTTCTGAAAAAGAGCTATACAGCTCAGTGTGCCTTACCTTGCAAATTAAAAATAGTTTATGAATAGTTTAGACTCGACGGCCCAGTTTCCTTCTGGGGTTACGGACTGACTTCACATGCAGTGAACGAGGCAGTAAGCCCGGCCCTGTCCCTGCTTGACCCCAAGCCAGTTTTTTTATGTCGTCTTGTGAGGCCAGTGTAATAATGCACGTGCTTTAGATTCTGTCTTGGCACTGCAAATAACCAGTGGAAAATGACTGCGAGGGCTTTGCGTTGTCTCGACGCAGATGTGCCAGTGGAAGAGGGGTATTACTTGCCCAGGAAAACCTCGCTGAGCCTCAAAACTGTTTTTTTACGACAGTTTCACCACTTTGGAATGTTTGGCTAATTGCATTTGTGAGTGTGTGGTTTCCATTCTGCCATCTTCGGGCTAGCTCGCAGCTCATTGTCATGCATCTTCATTGGGATTACATTAGCATTTACATTTTTCCTTATTCTGTAATTCTTGGCGACACTGTCGCGTGTTTCAGTCACTATGTCAGGGTTTCTCAAGTTTCATAAATGATGTCACTATAGTGTAGCGACAGTACCGAGCGAGTGGTACTGTATGTGCGGAACCTCTCCCTAGCACCTGAGTGAGTATACCATGGGAGAGGTTGAGTGAGGACACAACAGTCTGGGTGAACCCGAGGGGGCACGTGACCGGATGAGGTGGTAACGAGGACCAGAGAGGAGGTGAGAGGGACACGTGATGTGGGCCCCGAATCGTTGAGAAGGATCTGGAAAAGGGGCGTTGCCAAGGGCGGTGCCAGGCCACGCCACAGCGGATAAAATCTTGAGTCTCGGCGGTGATCGTGGTTGTTCATCTCTGGGAAGAAATCCTCCGTCTTTGTGGTTCCTCGGTCTCCGGTCTTCGCGCATATGGACCAGGCAGTGTGTTGGTTGTCCTGGTCCGATTTACTAGTTATCCCATCCAGTGTGTAGATAGTCACCTGTGGTGTTCACCCCTCCAAGTGTATATAGTTACTCGTGGTGGTCACCACCCTTAGTCATTATCCGGTTAAGTAGAGAGTTACCTATTGGGATAATGAACAAACGTGTTGCCTCCAAGATCAAGTGTGCGCCTCAATTGAACCCATTACGCGTCTGACCCAACTCAGATTTTATTTCCATGCTTACACATTTCCTTGGCTCAAATACAAATTCAGTGGCCATACGCTGCATATATCTGATTGGCGATTGGTTTTCGTGTACCACGTGATCTAAAGAACGCCACTTGATATTTTGATTCAGGCCTTAGGTGTGTGTGTGCGTTTGTGTGTTTCAAGCTGGTGACCTCTCCTTTGCAAGCCCATTGTGCTAACCGTTCACCTTGCACCACCGCGGAACATTTTCAAGATCTTGTGCGTGGAGCGGTCGTGTTGTGGTTAGAGCACCCCGCTGTGAACCCGGCAACCTGAGTTAAATTCCCACTCGCAGTTAGTTAACATCAGTCACGGATATATAGGGCCTCCCCTAGGTCAACTCGGCTTTAAATGAGTAGCTGCTGCAATGTCTAAAACATCAGCATATGGGAGACAAAGGTGGCCAGGCGTGGTGCTAGCCACCCATCCACCTGTGTGCCTTGCCAGCCATAATAACCGTGCATGAACAACACTTGCTCCAACAGTCTGTCAAATGTCACATGGGGGATCTTTATCTTTGTCAATATGTAGTGAGTTCAACTGAGTCACAGACACTTCTTGGAGGCAACACATTTTTTAATACCAACAGACTGCCCCTTAACAAGATAACAACCTATGGTGGTGGACCACCAGGCTAACTACACTAGTTACACTGGGAGTAGCTACAACGGACAGGACCACAGCTTGGTCCAGGTCCACGTGTTGGTGACTGTAGGACGTAGAACGAAGATTTCTTCAAGATGAACCACAGCAGCCGGTCCCTCTCGGGGACCCGGCTTTTCTCCTCTGTGGCGTGGCTGGCCCAGCCCTTAGCCACGACCACCTTCTAGAATCCTCGAGCAGGATCTCGACCCTGACACGTGACCACCCCTAGCCCCCACCTGGGGGCCCTGTGTAGACTTTACCGGTCACGTGTCCTTCGGGGTCAACCAGAGTGCCATGGCCCTTAGTAACCCCATTTCCGTGGCCGGCACTCTCACACCCTATCCTGTAGGGGTCGGCACTGCACGCAGAGCGTGGTTCCACTCAGCACTGTCGGACAGCGCTCACCAAACCCCTCTAGGGCCGGTACTACATACACGTGGTGCCCGCGATGTCAATACATTGCACGCCGTGCCTCTCTAGGGCTGGCATTACACAGTGACATCCGCAATGTCACTACAAATAGATATGGAGACGTGTTTACCAAACATCAGGCACATGCAGCAGTATATATGATTGAATTTGTGTATGAACGGAGAAGATTGATACATCTGGAAGAGTGTATTGTGTTAGGTGACGAGGAACGGGGAAACTATACAATAGCTTGCACACACTACAGGGACTCCATTTGCGAACAACTTAGGTTCCAGAGGTCTGTTCGTAAGTCAATTTGTTCCCAAGTCCAATTTTACTTCTGTCGATTCCAAACATGTTGTACGGTGTGTACACTAAACACAGGGAATGGCTTTAAAAGTTGTATAATCTCCTTAGGTGTAGATACCACCAGGGGCGGAGCCAGGATTGTCAGCCCAGGGTGACATTCAACAAATTTTAATTTCAAGAATGATTAGAGAGTCAGCCTGTTGAACTAGACGCCATCGGTTGGTGACACACTCTGACAATGCAGTTGCACTGAGTGTCGTACACTTATACGCAGAATGTTTCAGATTTTCGATTTTTTTTTCGGGGGTGACAATTGTCTACCTTGTCACCCCCCTGGCTCCACCCCTGGATACCACTGGTTCTTCATGTTCTGCAGATCTAGATGCCACCATCGCCATCTATTGCGCGGCGGTTAAACTTACGACTCTTGGTCCGAACAGGAAACTGGACATACGGACAGGTTTGTTCGTATCTCATAAGTAGAGGAGTCCCTGCACTGCCTGTGGAAGAGCCTCCAATAGAGGGAGTTCTAGAGAGCCAGTCGAGAGGGTATTTGGCCTACCCTCTCATGCTGATCAGACGTCTTGGAAGCGGTGGGTGTACCCACACTTTACCCCACTACACGTGACCTGCCAATGGACTGGCTGTAGTTGTACCAATTTATACTGCTGGGTGAGCAGAGGCGATGTGGGGGAAGCGGGGGGGGGGCAGTATTTTATAAACTTGCATTATTGTTTAAACTTGCGGCGCCGGAACATCAAATCAAATTGGCGAATTCTACGTTGCATGTTGTGCTAAGCCATGCACCTTTTTACCACCGCAGAATATTGTCACGATCATGCACAACGTCAACCGTAGAGCAGTCAACATTGAATAACTTTTGTTTTCTCAGCAATATTCATATATGTAAGCCAATATCGCTGCCACATTTTACCGTTGACTGCCGCTCCTAAATGTTCCATGAGAGAATACTAATTTCGCTTCTCGAGCAAAACACTGGGTGGCTTGTGTTATGAATTTAAATTTGCCAATGAAATTATGCAAGATTTTTTTGTACATTATTTTTTATTCGTATTATTATTCCACCGGCTTTGTGCTTCCATTAACAGCATGGCTTAGAGCTCGGGTTAACATTTAAAATCCTATGTACTGTGGGATTAAAATACATTTTGACCTTGATCTCCTGAGAAAAATTCACCTTGGCGGCAGGCACTGGAAGTTGCTGTTGACTTCGCAACTCGCAGTGCACCATGGCGTAGCCATCGTATGCCTGCTCGCGTTGCACCGTGGTGCTGGATAAGGTGGCTCCTCAGGGACGAGCAGATAGAGCTGAGGCCACACGCGGTACGGCGCAACCTCTCCTTGTTTTGTACCCCCTACGTGACGCAGATAACCGGGGCTATTAATAGGACGAAATACCGATGACGGCTACCGTGCAGACTCATCCAGCGTGACGATTTATTTTTAATTGCCGCTTTCGTGCGAGGGTCCGCCTAAAACGAGGCACCGGTGTGGAAAATTGTACGTCCGACACCTGTGTAATTGTATTATTTCCTAAATATTATTTTCGGTATACGCTATGCGCGGATGCTGCCACTGTGGTTGTTAATGGTTGGCCCTCTGCTGGCCACCCTGTGAGCCCACCATGTGCCATGGACAGCTTTCTCCTTAAATTGTACCGTAGTAGATGCTCTCCAAAATAATGACGCACAAAGTTAAACCACTCGAGACACCTGCCTAACATACGCATACATGGTTTACATTCGCGTGCCGTTTGGAATGAACGTAGAGTTTTATTTTACGCAACAACGCACAAGGTTAAACCACATATATAACTTCTTGTTGTAACAGCTCTCTCGCTGGTTCAGCAATTCCACTGCTGGATAATTTTTTCGGTCTGAGGACGACAGCTTGTGTAGCAATCGAAACGTCGTGATATATTATTTTTTATTTTATTTTATTTTTCTACCTACGTGACTATACCGAAGAACCAAAGAGTAATAACAAGGTGAGACGTTGCTCTAATTTGTGTTTTCCCCAACTCCCAAACGCCAAAAATCTAAATTGCATTATATATTGCTTTTGTTTAAACTATTCCATGTGACGACTTTTCCCATTTGCCTCAATTTCACACGAGCTGTTTACATTTGGAATCTTTGATTAAGTCTGTTTATTTTATTCATGGATCTTGTATAATTTAGTTTAATTTGGTTTGGGTTTCCATTTCATTTGCTTTCTTTACTTTGTTACGTATTTATTTTTCAATCAGTCTCCTTTGGAAAAAAAGGGTGTTTGTATCAAATTTGATATTTACTCTTGGGACATTACATAGCATTACTAATTAGGTGTACCTTAAACTGCAAGTGTATTACCCAGAAACCACATCGGAGCGCTGAAAAAATGTACTTCAGTACTATTGTTATTATGTTACGTTCCATGAGTAAACACCACATTTGATATCAACGGCCCATTTTTCAAGAAACGCTGATTAAACATAGATAAAAAAATGAAAACGCAATAAAAATCGACCGAAACTCAACAGAAATAACTGGAGTGCTACACCACGTGCGCAATTCGACACGCGTCCGATGCACTGTGAGAGGTTAAGAATCGGGCCTTGACGTTTAAGGTAATCGTGACCTGCCTAACATTCGTTTGTTTAACATCTCTCCGTGGTGGCGAGATGTTGACTACCTTGCCTGGTATGCAAGAGGTCATAGATTCGATCCCGGCCCTGACGCCTGCTGTATATTTGCAGTTTGGGTGTCTCTCCCCCCACGGTCACGTGGATTTTTCCCTCTGGTCTCCAGTATATCCCTCCGCATTTAGAATCAACATGTGTTTAGTGTATTTGTCTCCTATAAATTTCCGCTCGATGAGCCACTTCGTGGCGTTATCATTTGTGGCCAGGTCATTAAAAAAAAAAAAGCTAGATATGTTATTGGGCCTTACCTGATAAAAAAAAAAATCTTGAATAATTCTCTCCAAATCTGTATGCGACAGTTAAAGGTGGAGCGACGTCGGCCCCATCGGCGCCATCGTCCCCTCCCGAGTCGGAATCCGGCAGCGTGGCCGCGGGCAGCGGCGGCGGCGATGAGTCGGCCTTCGCGGTGGGCGAGCGCGTCTTCGTCAACGGCGCCAAGGCCGGCACACTGCGCTTCCTGGGCCCGACGCAATTCGCCCCGGGCCGCTGGGCGGGCATCGAGCTCGAGGAGCCCGTCGGCAAGAACGACGGCTCGGTGGCGGGCGTGCGCTACTTCCAGTGCCGCCCCCTACACGGCGTCTTCACACGGCCCTCCAAGCTGGCACCGACGGCTGGCGAAGGCGAGGCCGCCGAGACCGACGCGTCCCCTAACACCGCGGCGGCCACTACGGCGACGCGAGCATCTTCCAGCGGCGCCACCCCTCCGTCCTCCTCCTCCGAGGCCGCCACCGTCTCGTCCCCGCAGGTCATGACCCCGGCAAGCCCGGCGACCCCCAAAAGTATTCCCACAACGACGACGGGGCCGCCGTCACTGCCGCCGCCGACAGCCAGACCGCCCTCGTCCACACCCGCGTCGATGAGCAAGATGACGAGCGGGTCGGTGTCGAACCTGTCGGAAGCCGGGTCGATGAAGAAGGGCGAGCGGGAGCTGAAGATTGGCGACCGCGTACTGGTAAGGACATATCATCCATAATAATAGTGCTGATGGTAATGTTTCAGCAGCCATCAACTCCTCCTAGAGCTCCCGACCGCAAGTCTAACCTTCCGACATCAAATAAGCATTGGCCTCATTGTGGAGAATGCAAAAAAAAAGTATGCAGACGATACATCTCCACCTAAATTTTTTTAAGAACGGTAACGACACAACCGACCGGCCACATGGCCTTCTGGAAGTGCATCGTTTTCAGGAGCATTGTTTCAAGACGAGCAAAACTCTCGAACGGTTTTGTCATTGCAATGTCTCATCAGTAAATCCGTGCAATCTTGATAGCGTCGTTTTTATCACGCAAGGATATCAAGAAGGCGCTGCTTTTGCCAATAGGGGGCAATGTTGGCTCGTGGTGAATGCACTTTAGGATTCTTTCATCAATTTCAACGTTCATCCGTCTTGTCGGCAACATCGTTTTTCTGGTCTCTAGCTGTCACAAAACCTCCCAGGATGCTTCAACACCGTTTCACGTGTGCCTGGACGTTGTCCATCCCGGGGTGAAGTTTAGGCTGTTTTCCATTTTTCCTCCTTTGAGGTTATCGCGATCTCGTCGTGTTTTATGCACACGCATTCTCATTCCATCGTCGCCGTGCGACCGCTGAAAATAGGCCGCACGGCGGTCTAATTTCACGCTCATGTAAATGACTGCATTTTACGTCCTTGTTTACAATAAATCTCAACTTAAAGTGTCTCCCAACATCTGCGGCATCGTACCTTTGCACAACGGCGACCAATGTCACTTTCCCCCTTGTTGCCCAATAAATATGTAAATGTTTGTGGGATGGTTTCCGTGGCAGGTGACTCTTTTTAACAGCCTTGAAACCGGCTTGAAATAGTAGGAGCTCGTAATGGGCATGAAATAATATGTACCACGTAACGGTATTCTCACTGCATTTAATTTGTTAAATATACATGCGCAACAGTATTCGAGCACATTTTATATGCACAATATACTACATAACAGTATTTGAGTGCACTTAATATGGATTTTATACAGTGTAATGGTATTCTAGTTCATTTAGTAATACATTATAGGCTACGTAATGCTACTCTCGTTCAACTAAATGTTATATGTCATATTGTTATCCAGCAGTATAAATGGGTACGCCACGCTTAGTCCGTCGGCAGATCGCTTGCGGTGGGGTAAAGTGTGGGTATCAACAACCTTTTCCAATATGCCTGGCCAAGGTGGATGAGAAGACCAAATTCCCTCTAGAGGGCATATGGTGGCCCTTCCACCAGCAGTGGTGTGAGCTATAAATTGCAGGGCTGAACATTTACCTTCCACTAATATCTGTAATTGTATTTGTTTCCCCCCAGAGCGTATTATTGCCGGTGTGTCGCACTGTCCATTCTGTTCTTGCCCATAATCTCGGCGCATACCGCTCCCTCTTTAACCACCGCTTGGTGTGACCTTTCCCCTCCCCCCTCCCTAGGTGAGTGGCACGAAGGCGGGCGTGGTGAGGTTTCTTGGCGAGGCGGACTTTGCCAAGGGCGAGTGGTGCGGTGTGGAACTGGATGAGCCCCTGGGCAAGAACGACGGCTCTGTGGCTGGCACCAGGTACCAGATAATTCGAGCCCCCTCCTCTGTAGACCAATGAGAAGACGACCCCACGTGTGGGGTCTATGTCGAGCATATCTTCTCTGAAGCTTCAGCCACACTCTACTGCGGTTGAACTGACGAATCTCACCTGCACTCCTCCATCGTTGTGCTGTCTGCCTTCGTCCCCATTATCCTGTTGGCCCCTTAGGCCTCTGCAGTTGGATAGTGACTCTTCATGTTTACCACTACCAATTGTGACCACGATTGCATTGCGAGTGGCTTTGAAAGCAGAGCATAACGATAGCAGCAGTATTAACAACAACAACAAACTGGTTTCACCTTTTCCCCCCCATTCCCCCCCCCCCCCCTTGCATGAAGATATTTCCAATGCCAGCCCAAGTACGGCCTCTTCGCCCCGACGCACAAGGTGACGCGAATTGGCTTCCCGTCCACGACGCCGGCTAAGGCGAAGGCCGGTGGCGCCGTGCCGGGCACCCGGCGCACCGTCAGCTCGGGCATCGCCGCGCTCAAGCGCAGCCCCAGCGCCTCCTCCATCAGCACGCTCAGCTCCGTGGCCTCGTCCGTGAGCGCCAAGCCCAGCCGCACCGGCCTGGTATGTTTATTTTTTTTTATAGCATTTTTTTTTCAAATGACATTTTAAAAAAAATAACATTTTATTTTTTTTTTTACCCAGGAAAGGAGGTCCACTGAGCTATGTAGCTCTTTTTCAGAAGCGACCTGGCTATCACAAATGATAGCTCAACGAAGTGGCTTATCACCCACACCAAACCCACCCCACGTGTGTGTGTGTGTGTGTCCCCGCAGCTAGCGGAGACGTCCGCCCGCTACTCGCGCAAGATCGCGGGGAACACGGCGCTCCAGGAGGCGCTCAAGGAGAAGCAGCAGCACATCGAGCAGCTGATGGCCGAGCGGGACATGGAGCGCGCCGAGGTGGCACGAGCCACCAGCCAGGTCGGGGAGGTGGAGCAGGAGCTGTCTCTCGTAAGACACGCGCACTCGCAGGTGAGGCACCCCAATGATCCTATTCTACTTCAGTCCGTTCTTGATCTTCGCGATCACTGTGGCGGGGCGGGTGGGGAGGGGAGGCAGAGTCTGCTTCGGTCCTTGCCGCATCGATGCGTCACTGCGTCTCTTCTACGCTGCTGCTTCTTCGCTGATCTCGTTACATTCGTCTTTAGTCTGTTATTCTTGTTGTTGTTGCTGTTGTCCTTTATTTAACGAGAAGGTGAAATAAATAAACCCATTGAGACGCACGAAACAGCATTGTGCCTCTTGCAAGCGTGACCTTTTATGGTGCTAGATCGCTGCCTTCATCCCCACTGCCTATGCATGCCATTGTCATTATCGTCATATGCATGCGTTCTTATCGAAAGCTTCATCCTCATCATGTGTATGTGATTTGTGTAAAATTATCAGCATCGCATGTTTCATCACTTAGCATCCTCATCTTTATTCATTATCCACTGCTGGATGAAGGCCTCCCAACCTCGTCACCATCCCTCACAGCCCTACAATGCAAGAGTCCATTTCCCTCCTGCGGATGAGCCGATCTCTTTGCGTCGTCTAACACGGCGGTTGTCTTCACGGTCATCTCCTCGCCTTTTGGCTGCCATTTTCTCACGGGTCTCATTCGTCCGTGCTTTTCCGTGCGATCTCCCTCGTGTTCCGTAAACAGTTCGTGGTTGAAGCGGAGGAGAAGATGGACAGCCTGCGGACTCTGGTGGAGGCAGCCGATCGCGAGAAGGTGGAGCTGCTCAATCAGTTGGAGGAGGAGAGACGGTGAGTGAGAGAGGTGGGGCCACACCATTGATTCCCAATTATTAATAACAATCATCGGTAATTATTTTACTGCCATTTTTATCGATCAACTGCAATGAGTCCTCGTCACGTGTCGGTCAAATCAACGTTTACATTAAATTAGCTGGAATAAGCCAAAAAGAATGAAGAGTCAAATGTTCCCTCTTGTTCTGCTGTAGATGCTCGTTGCATGGCATTTAAACTGATATATTTTTTTACTCTCAGAGACGGATGGTTTCGGACAAAAGTCAGTGAAAAAACTAAAATGTACGTGATGGGTTGTTGTGCGTTGCCCGTTTATCAATAAAATCAGCAGTTTGTAATTCCCGCAGATAGAATTGGAATTGGGTGGGAAAAAAAAACATTATGGAATATTAGTTTTTTTTATGCGTTCAATGGTTGGGTGAGCTGAAGCTATCAAAAAGTCGCTCCGCTTGAGAAGCCGGTTTAATCACGGGCGGCGGAAACCCAGACTTGAACCCAGGATCTCTGTGGGGTGCCAGCTCGCACTTCCATCTTTTCATTAGCTTCATGAGCCACCCGGTCAACTCCCAAAGACTCTAAAATGGATTGCATTGGAGTGTGGGAGATGTCCTTAAGTTGATGTTCTCTGTTACACGGACGATGTTCCTGTTTATTGATTGAGGAGGGCTAAAACAGAACAGGACACGAGAGTACAAATAGTTCCACTGAAATAGAGTTTCAGTGGAACTGTTTTCGCAAATGAGCGGTTATTTAAAGTTTCTCCTTTTGAGTTAACGTTTTTAATCGAATGAAATACCCTTTTAAAGTAAATGTAACATCGAAAACAAAAGCCTGCGAAAGAGTGGTAATCTTGAGAGTTATTACACGAAACAGAGTTTTAATAGAAATTCAACTTTCGTCCCAGTTGAGTTTCGCGTTTAACATTTGGTTTTACCTTCAAGGGATGTGGCTGGGTGGCTCAGGGTTCAGAGAGGGGGCAATAAACCAGCACCTTTAAGAGCCTGTGTTCGAATCCAGATTTCGCCTGTGAGTTTGATTGTCACAGCCCCAATGCCCAAAGACAATAATCACCAATTAGTTATTTTTTTTTTCACCAAAATAAATCCAGCTCTGAGAATCGACAACAAAAATGTCGGGTTGAGGGCCGTGCGGTGAATATTTCACTGTTGTAGGGCCCGTGTGAAAGTGCGTTCCCTCTAGCAAATGATGAGGCCGCTTGAAGGCATTTCCAGAAGTCGCCTGAAGGGATTCCCTCTGGCCTGTGATACGTGGGCGATATCGCCCTCCTCGGGAGGGCCGTACTCTAACAAAGTGACGATGCGCTGCGCTCGCGAGAGTTATGGATGGACGCGCCATCTCCTGCCATGACGCCGACAGAGAGACAGCAAGAACAAAAAAGACAGTATTTTAATTGACAAACGAAAAACTTTAGGGGAGAGATGGAAATTAGTAAATGGTCACGTGCACGCATGTATTTTAAATTGTATTCAGTTTCTCCCACTTAACATTGTCTTCAACAGAAGGGTGGAAGACCTGCAATTTCGGGTGGAGGAGGAATCCATTACGAAGGGCGACCTGGAGGTACACCGAGAGCATTTAGCCTTTGTCAAGATGTTAAAAATAATCGGCGTGTAATAAATCACAAGCACGTTCCTCACAGGTACATCAGGCACCATTGGATGGGGTGGAGGCAATGATTGGCCATACTCAACTGATGATTCCTAACCGGCATGAAACTAGCCCACATTCTCGTTTGATCCCGCGGCAGTCACAGCCATGCAGACTCCCAACTGTTCGATTTGTACGGGATGAGAGTGTTGTCCCCTCGCAAGCGTGTGTTTTCTCCGGGTGCTCCACTTTCCTTCCATACGTATAAACACTCATTAATTGGTCGAAAACACCTTAATATGTAGAGGAGCGCAGAGCTTGGGGTGCGGTGCACAATTTGGTTGCTGGGTCACCACCTGGCTGCCGCCTTCCCGCTGGACTTTAGTGAAAAACTGCTGGACATCTGTGAAAAAGAGCTTTATAGCTTATCGGATTCCTCCGGTATAAAAAAAGATTCTGATTCTGATTGTCTGTGGCTCCTCCTCTCGCCTCTGGAGTCTCCCTCTCTCTTAAAAAGAGTGAGTGAATGCCGTGCGGTGGCGAGGTACAAGTTGAAATCGTGCTTTTTTTTTAAGTACGATGCTGGGACTCGTGTGCCACACCTATTTAACTAATTTCTTTACAACTGATTTTTGTGTTTAGTTTGTTGTCTTTTCCCCCCCGCACACCTCCGATTAGCACGGTTGGCTATGTACCGTGTGAAAGAAGTTCAACGTACGTGCATACATACGTGTATGACGGCAGCTGGTGCGGCGTTGCCAATTGCCACTCTCTGTTGCCTGTTGCGATGGCACCTTCTTGCAGCAGTGGTTCCTTCTTGCATGTGCATGAGCTGACACGCACTTCTCTGGATCTGTGTCTTAACGTGTGCACGTACACTTATTCCCGTCGGGCTCAATCAGTTTGTGCTGACGAGTCGGCTGTGTGTGTGCGCGCGTGTCTTTATTTTCAAGAGGCCGGCAACAAACAGCACTGTTAGCAAAGTTGTAATCGTTATCGATTACAACTGTGACACGTTTCTTGAATTGAGCAAGATTATTATTATAAGAGCTTGGGGAAAAGAGATGATCGGAGGGAATTCCAAAGTGGAGCAGTGCAGGGTAAAGAAGCTGAAAGACAAGTGTTGTGACTTGCATTGTGGTGATCAGGTGAATGAGCGAGTTAGTTCCTGAGCGAATGGGTGAGTGAGTTTGATGTTGTGACCTGCAAGTGTGAAGGTTGAACGCAGTATGGATGGAGACGAAACAGTCAGTGTTTGGTCGACCGAGTTCTCAACGCGGGCGGAGGAATCGATGAGTGAAGTTCATGGGAACAGTAACAGCAACTATGGTAGTAGTAGTAGTTGTAGCGATAATAATACATACAAGAATGATAAGGAGGCGACCGACCACCGCTGAGCTAGTGACTGACGTTTACAAGCTGTGAGACCTCTGTTCTGACACTGCCTTCCTCTCTCTCTCCCTATGTGCACGCTCACGCGCATGTGTTTAATCATGGTAGTAGAAGTAGCGATAGAATACATACATACAAGAGTGTTAAGGAGGTGACTGACCGCAGCTGAGTGAGTGACTGACGTTTACAGGCTGTTAGACCTCTGTTCCAACACTGCCTTCCTTTCTCCATGTGTGCTAGTGTGTTTAATCGACTTGTCGGCGGTGCGCTCGTACTTGCTCCGATTGCTCTCTCTTAACCCTCGGTGTCTGTGGCTGTCTGTGATCTGACACTCACCCCCCCCCCCCCCCCCCATCAAATGTCGGTTCATTCATTGGTGTGCGGTCTATATCTTTGGCGTGGGTGTGAGTTTTGCATGCGTGTGGATTTTTTCGACTAACAGACTCAAACCAAACTGGAGCATGCGCGCATTAAGGAGCTTGAGCAGAGCCTTCTGTTTGAGAAAACCAAAGCCGAGAAGCTGCAGAGAGAGTTAGAAGACTCGCGGGTAAACTGGGATGCAACGTTCACACTGTCCGTCCGTAGCGATCATGCGGAACAAACAAACGAAAACAAAATATTTTTTTTTACGGTACTAAACCTTCAATCCAGAACTTAAACATGCTACTGCACAACGTCGCATGCCCCGACTGCCGCATGTCTTTCCCTGACCAGTTTAATCGTCCGAACCCAGCGCGACGTGCTGCGCATAGCGGAGCCGTGGATTTTTTTCTCCCACAGGTGTTCGCAAATCCACCCTGGTTTCACGTACAATCTTGTATTTTTCATTTTTAGCGTGAATTCGCCAACTCCTAAAGCGGTGCAAAACGGCTTCTCTTGCCTCGTTTAAAGCAGTTGGCGCTTCATTTTTATTTGTTACAGTTACAAAATTGGTGCGTCGCGTGAAAGTGTGGTCGTCTACACGCGCTCACGTATCCAGCCCCCTTTGCATATCCGCCCATACATCAGTCCCCAGCGAGTTGGATATGCGACGTTGTACCGTATATATTTTACGTATTTTGTGACTGCAGGTTGTATTTAACGACCTGTTTTAAAAAATATATATATATTCAATTATTCTAGCCATGCTAAAGAGACGGTGGATTGAAAGTTTCCGTATAATTGCCTGTCCAGTTAACTATTTCTAATGCTTTGTGTTGTTTGACTGGGTTATAATAAGCATGGCGCCAAATAATAATTAATCATCTTACGGCAGACGCATTCCAACAACAAACGACCGAAGAGGTATCGACCTGCGCTGTAGCTGTCCGACGTGTTTGTTTTTTGCGGGTTGTACCGCTACGTGTCGTTCGTAGTTTCTCGCCACGTGCCCGGGAGCTTCTTCCCAGAGCCGTCTCTAAACATCGGATATCGCGACGAACAACACGTAGCGGCATAACTGCGAAAAAACCTACGCAGTTCTACTTTAGTCGCATGGCTGTGCTGTGTTCCTGGCTCTCCGACACGAGTTCGAAGCTTCGGTAATGGGTGGAGAAAAAACGAATTAAAAAGTGGCTCAATAACTCGCCAATTAGTTAAAAAAAAAACATATCCTCTTGGATGGTGGTGCTTGCGTGGGTGACCACCGTGCTCGTCAGGTTGCTACAGGCTGCTACGAGGCTACGCGGCGGGCAGCAGAGAGGGCAGTGCAGAGAAATCCATTGTACTATTCTATTCTTTGCTGCCCGCATTCGCCAACCCGAAGTGGCCGGCGTGGAGACGTACAGGCAAGGTCACACCCACGACTCGATTAGCGTAGGGGGAGGCCCTCATCCAGCAGTGGATTGACCAATGGGCTGTAGGTATGCTGTATGTAATGTAGTGACACGACTGCCGACCGAGGCGCTACGGTCGGCACAGTAGAAATAAAAAAAAAACTAAAACTGACGCCCGATAGTAATTCAATCTTGAAATCAAACGGGCAGACCGCGGCAATGTAGCGGCATCGCTGCAGTGGCGTCCCGAAAAGTACGGTGGTCACACCGGCAGTGACATCGCTCGAGAGTGACGGCCTCGTGCCTGAGAGGCACTTTCAAGTCTGTTTTTCTCATTAACGTTCACTTTACTTTGGTTTCCAATAGTCTGGGTCGCACCTCCGAGGTAATGCCTTACACGGATTTGTTCCTTGGGCTGCGTCTGCCTTTTAAACGCTTCTGACTTTTAACCCACTGTGGGAGACATAACCACTTAACCTTGTGTGCGACGCTGCTCAATCACTGTGTGCCCAACCTTGGTAATCGTCTGAAAGCCGGGCTTTAATTTCGGCCGGGTCTTTGTCTGGCTTGGCGGGCTCAGAAAATATTTCTTCATTTGGCACACCGCATCCAGTGTAACTCTCGCTGTGACTGTAGCTAATAACACTGGGCATGTCCCACTTACTCCTGTTAACTAACAACCTGGAAAATACCCTGTGAGCAATAAATCACTTTGAACAACCACATCCAGTATTCATCTCTCTGGGTGTGGCTACTGGTCACAAACCATCTACTCGGGCCTAGCAAATAATCCTGGAGGATGTTGCCCACACCTGGCACACAACATCCAGTACACCTCTCGCTATGGCTGTGGCAACATGCCACCTGCTCGGGTTTACTAAGCGACTCGTAAAATATTTGGCGATGAATAAAAAAAAATCTGGCCATCGGCAACTGCCTCGTCCGCGACGCGATGGATTTACCGGCAGAAAAATTGGAACGGTTAAAAAAATAACGGCGAACTAACGCGCGGCTGGTCAGGCCGCCACCGTCTCGGAGAAGTCTCGCATCCTGGAGCTAGAGGCGGAGCTGGAGGCCGCGAGGCAGGGCCTGCCCGGCAAGGCCCTCCCGGCGGACGCGGGCCCTGAAGCGGGCGCCGCGCACGCGGCCGCTGCCGCGGCGCTGATGGAGGCTCTGCAGGCTGAGATCAAGGCCCTCAAGGAGCAGCTCGCCGCCGCCAACAAGGACAAGGTAGCCCCCCCGCTCTGCTGAATGTTGTTTGAGGCGAAAACTTGACTCGCGTGCGTGCGTGCGTACCGCTTGGTTTCTTCAATTTGTTGCAGTTCTCTCCTCGATAATTTTTGGTGTCTGACTTTCTCTTTGCGTCATTGCTCTAACTTTATTTTATTCGGTTTTTGCTCGTTTTTGTCGTGACTTTACCGAAAGAACCAAAGAGTTCGTCTTTATTTGTAAGCTGCAGATGGCCCTACGCAGTTGCTTCAAGCAGCTTCTGTCTTGCGAGCCTGGGCAGCACGACAATTAAATTTCTGAGCACACACACACTCCGCGGCCGTTTCTCAATGCCACGGGCTATGTTGTGTCGGCGATGGAGCAGATGGAACGGCAGACTCGGTATACTCATCAATCATGTCAAAATTGACAACATGTACCACCGTATTACGGTGCTAATGAGGACGCGCACAGCGGTGAACATTCATTTCCGATGGTAAGCGTTTGTTAATGACGATTGTATTTACCTCGGTAAGCCTCACTGAGTTTTCGAGACTTTTCAAGAGGGACCTGCACTGGGATCGTTGGCACATTTCAATTTAGGAGTTGTTTGGCTTGTGGGCGGGGCAAACTGGAGTACCTGGGGAAAACCCACCAGATATACGAAGGGATAACACTCGAGCTCCGTGCGGATAGAGTCAAGGATCCAGTGCTGTTTTGACATTGCTTGGCCAGCTTCCAGCCAAAACCTTACAGCTCTTGGTATTTTCCAGGCAGTCTCTCGTCAATTTCATGAACCAGGTTCAACCCTTCTGATGAGTTTGGGCACATTCAGGAGGATTTGGAAGCGATGCCTTTGAATAGTCCAAGCGGGTGTCTCATGTCCCGTTTACCGCAATGAACCGTTGGTGAAATTCCACATTCCTGTGGAGGAAACCAGTCATTCGATTGGAAAACCACTGATTCTAAAATGTGATATTTATTTAGTCAACTCTGTTCGGTGCCTGATAAAAGCTGATCGATGCACAGGGAGTCTGAGTGATGGACATGAGTTTGTGCTGGCGCGCGTAAAAAAAAAACAGGTGGTAACGCGTGACGCACTCCTTTCACCCGGATTCAAACTCGTAACCTACACATCGTGAGTCACGTGCTCTATCCACTGCGCGACACAGCCAGGTGGCAGCGCAAGTTACCCAGCGTTGCGCTGTGCCCTCTGGCTATGCAAGACGAATAGCAGAGCGCTGCTTCTTTCAACGTGTTGTGTCTGATTAAATAATATTATTTTTTTAAACAACAGGAATTTCATTAAAGCCAGCTTTTGACGGAGCACTTTCGTTCTGCGTGTAATATTGCTAGCCACGTGTTTTCTGAATATAACTCTTTGGGTGTAATGTACGTCGCGGCGATAATTGAGTTCATAACGCGGCAGCATTCTCTTACCGCGGCATCAAGGCGACCGTATCGACGTGGACAGTTCACGGAATTTGACTTTCAAATAAACGGAACAAAATGAAAATTATAAAAAAAAACAAGAACGCAAGTTGGCTACGTTGAGAGACACACAGGTCAACACTGCCACGTTTATGACGACGACGATGATGATGGCGATGACGGCATTTTCTCTTCGGTACGTTACATTTTTTGCGTATACATCTCGCTCGAATAAGTGCTGTGTATTAAAAATTGAATGTATTTGTTTCAATCGATATGATGGCTAAATTGTTCCAGGAGAAGCTTCGCTTCCTGAAGACGCTTCCAAGCAGGTAGGCGGTTCGAAACGTCTGGACATCGTGCCAGACAACATGCGGCACAACCGGATGCGCGTGCACGCACGTGCCTGCTGGCCCCTTTGCTCCAATTCCCCGCCCCCCCCCCCCGACCGCTGTTGTCTTCCCATTGACAGGCGGAGGAGTGGCGAGCGGCGAAGGCCCTCCAGGAGAGTCTCGATGCGGCCCTGAGCGAGGCCGAAGCCCTCAAGAAGGCCCACGCCGAGGCCGAGTCTCTCCGCCGGGAGCTGGCCGCGACGACCAGTGAGGTGCAGCTGTGGAAGGAACGCCTCGAGGCGGTGGAGGCCGCGCACCGCCAGGCCCTGGAGGACGCCGCGAGCCGCTCGGCCGCCCCGGGAGCCGAAGCGGCGGCGGCGCTGGAGGCGCTGAAGGGCGAGCGTGTCAAACTGGAGCGGGAGAGCGCCGCGCACCTCAGGGTGAGTGGGGCGTGACGCGTGGGAATCATCCGTGGAACTGCACGCGCCCTCGCTCGCAGAACAGGGTGGCGTCGTGGACGGTGGCGGTGGTAAACGTGGTTGTTCCACTGCTTTGCAGCACGGTCGCCATCTCTTGTGGTCCCTCCAACGCAGGCAGTCGGCAACCAGCGGCTCCGGAGCAACCCTCTTTAACATCTCGCCCCGGTGGCTAGGAGATGTTAACTACCTCGCCTGGTATGCAGGAGGTCGTGGGTTCGATCCCGACCACTCTGCAAGCTCACTGGCTATCAGCAAAGATTCGTTCATGAAGCCATCCAGATATATAAACACAGGCGCAATTTCATCCGAGAAGATGGGTACAAACTGGAAGGACGTTATTAACCAGTTTAAGTCATAACTGGCTGTGATGTTTCCATCCTACCTGCCGATGTTAGCAGGTATTTTCGACTCTCTGAGTTGCATTACCAGGTTAAATGTCTTTACATTCACAGGCTAAATGTCTCACTAACACAGCCACCGTTGCTCGTTTTATTCGATGTGACGGTGGTTTTCGTGTTGTTCGTTTTTCTTACATTGACATGCTAATCTCTCAATACAATGGCCACCTTCACAGCTTCGTCAACGTGGAGGTAGCCCAGCTCTCCGATCTTACATTTACATGCAAATTTCATCTCCAACCCCGCTCACTTCTCTTATGACCCTTGGGCTACACCCATCTCAAACCTTTATAACATCCTGCCTCAGCAGCTCTCCCGCTTTATTTTTTTCCTGCCTCAGCAGCTCTCCCGCTATATTTTCTCACCTTGTGACGATTGCTCGTGTTGTGATCGAAACGTCGTGATGCTTTTATTATTTTTCTATCTACGTGGCTTTACCGAAAGACCCAAAGAATGCGGATTCCTGCAGTCACGAAAGCTTTTAAGTCAGAATTAAAATGGTTTTAGTTTATCGTCGCCGGTGCTTCGCTCTGGTTGTCCTGCGCAGGAGAAGGAGGAGCTGAAGGCGAAGCTCGGAGAAGCGCTGAAGGGGCGCGAGAGCGAGGTGGAGCGCGTGAAGCAGCAGCTGGAATTGGCCGGCACCCAGCACATGCTGGAGCTCGAGGAGATGCTGACGAAGCTCTCGCAGGCCGAGGACAAGCTCAAGGAGGCCGAGAAGACGGACACGGAGAAGCAGGTTGACTACGTCACTTGCATGACACGCGCCGACACACGCGCGAGTGGGTCTGTGTGTTGCGCGAGCTCGTGCACGTACGTACGTGTGCGTGTGTGTGTGTGTGCGTGTGCACGAGCGGCTAGGTGTGATGTTGGCTACCCCCACCCCCTTGTGTGCTCGCTAACAGCACAAGCCCCCAACAAGTCTGTTAAGGCCATTTCCGGGAGATCTTTGTCTGTGTGTGCAAGCGTGGGAGTGCAACGGGATTGGCGCGCTGTCTGACTGCCGGGCGAAGAATGTTTGCCTGTGCCAGGCCACATGGGAAAAGTGCAGCCGCCCACTGGAAGGGATCTCGGAAAGCGGTTCCTCAATTTTGCCTTCTTTCGGGCCAAATCTCGTGAGATGTGGCGATGTGCTACTCGGTGAAGGGGTTTTGAATGGACACTCCTTCTCGTGACATTGACATGGGGGGGGGGGGGGCATTTTTTAAACAAAATTGAAAGCAATGAATCCATTGAGAGCACGCATTGAACCGCTGACGGTGGTAATGGCGTAGCTGCATGTTCCGTGTGCCCGCTTTGCCACAGGCGTTGCAGAGCCGCGTGTCAGAGCTCGAGGCGAAGTGCCGCGAGTGTGAGAGGCTGGCGGAGGAGACGGAGGCTTCCCACAAGGAAAACGAGGCCCTGCGGGGGAAGCTGACCGCGGCCCTGAGCACGTGCAGCGCCGTGGAGGCCGAGAGACTGTCTGCTGGCGACAAGGTAACGGCTGTCTGTGCCACACTCGCCTCTCGTTTGTTTACATGCACGGAAATTGGGCGCCTGTGCGCGCGTGCGCGTTCGTGTGAAACTGCGTCTGTTTGTGTGTTTGTGTTGTGTGTCAGCAGCGGTTATGTAGCAGTTAGGCGAGCTGCTCTACGAACCCAGTAATGCCAGTTCGATTCCCACTCACGGCCAACACCCAGTGACAATTATCTGAACCGGTCCTGGGCCTCCCCTAGGTCGACTCAGCCTCAAATAAGTATCTGGTGCTGTGTGTACACATCGCTACTGGGGAGACAAAGGCGGTCAGGCGTGGTATTTGCCACCCACCCCCTCGTGTGCCGTGCCAGCCTTCATAGGTGCTCGCTTAACAGTACTTGCCCCAACAGTCTGTTGAGGCTCTACGGGTGATCTTTGTCTTTGTAGAGCAGTGGTTAGCGTGCTGCTCTTCGAACCCGACCACACGAGTTTAATTTCCCGCTCACGACCAACATCGTTGACGAAGATCTGAACTGGTTCCTGGGCCTCCCCGAGGCCTCCATTGATTAGTTTAGTTTACACTTCTTTTGTGAAGCCACTGCTGGATGAAGCCCTCCACACTGGGTTCCTGTTGAAAAAAAAGTTGAACTCAATGGGCCTTACCAATAATGAAGTGGCTTGACTGAGCCTTCAAATGAGTACCAGGTTGCAGTGCATAACATCTGCACAGAAGTGACGAAGGCGGCTGGGAGTGGTGCTGGCCACACCAACCCCATCGTGCACCGTGCCGGCCTTAATATGCACTTTCTAACGGTACTTTACGCGGCAGTCAGTCAGGCGCTACAGGGGAAATGAAACAATCTTTATACTTCACAACGTTTATCCTGGGCTTTGAGCCAGGGCTCGGCGTGAGTAAAAATTTTTTTTTTTAAATGAGGAATCATTTATCTGTGAATTGGCAGTGGCGTTTCCCACCTGCTCACTCCATAAATATTGCAGTACACTCGGCTGCCTGGTTTAGCATTATTGCAGCGAAGGTACTTGGGAGAGTGGGGTTTGGCGGTATTTTTACTTTGCCCCGTCCGCACAGGCCGGAGAGCTCGCTGAGAAGTTGCAAGTGATGGACAGAGAGCTGCAGGGCCTGCGCCAGAAGGTTTCATCTCTCAGTGACGATAGGGGCCAGCTGCAACAGAAACTGTCTGCGCGGGTAAGTGTGGCCCTCGTTTTTGACATTTTGTACCGGATTTTAGCGTTGCCAGCGAAAGTGTTCTCAAGTCACATCCACTGCGATCTGACCCAGCGGTAGCGTGCTCTTTCCGTTTTTTGTGTGGGTTCGCCGTTCGACCCCGGCGGATGCCCTGGTATATACTGCCCGGTGTATTCATGATAAATGACGGTGCCGCCCGCTCTGCAGTGAACTTCAAAGGTCCTGCGACGTGATCCGAGGGTTAGGGCCACGTGTGTTCGCCTCGTGTCCCAAAAGCTTGGCCAGCTTGATAAATATCTCATAATATATGTACATACTGCATGTTGAACTTTCGCACCGTACGTAGCCAAGCGTGCTAATCGGACGTGCGGTGGAAGGACAATAAACTAACAACAACAACAAAAAAAACGGTTCTAAAAAACGAAGTTTTCAATCTAGATTTAAAAGTGCATAATCTCCAGTGGCTTCGTAATATCTGAAGGAAGACCGTTTCTGATGACTACAGAAGCACATTTGAAAATGCGCGATGCAGTGATTGTTTTCGAACGTTACCTGATTAGGAAGCCATGTAACAACGTCGCCCCTACACGGGCAGCTGCCCCTGGGGGTCCCTTGCCGCAGGCCGCCTCGAGAGGTATTGCACGGGAGGCGTGGAATAAATGCTAAACGACAATCATGATAATGATGATGATGATTACAGTTATCGTTTAACACACATGATGTCTGCTTTTAGATGGAAGAAATAAAGTCTGCGACCGAAAAAGGAAGCAGCCTGCAACAAACTATTGAAGGTGCAGTCAACAGAATTTTATTTAGAGTTGCACATCTGTCTTATTTGTTTGTCCTTGAATTACACTGTGTGACAATTTTTTTTTGTTCCTGGGTAGTAAGTGTTATTTCCTCATTGCTTATGCCTCAAAATTACAGAAAATGGCAATTATTTCCCACAAACTTTGCTTTTGTGACCAGGACAGTGATATTTTTAAATTTACCTATTTTCCAGAATATTCCAGATAGATTCTGTGCTGAGTAAACTTGGAGTACCTTCTCGAACATTCTAGAGCTTTCCAGTCATATAAATAGTAGTATAAATACAGGGGCCTTAAGCCCACCAGTTCAGTTTAGTTTAGTTCCAGCTGCCTAAGTGGATATATATCTGCCTTTTTCTGAGATGGCATCAAGAGGCTGTAAGCATCCGGCAGACGCATTTTGCTCTGTGTGTGGCCAATTTATTAAGACGAGCGAAATACTGCTCTGTGGAAGCATCTGCTAAGATGTGTGAGGCCTACAAAGGCATATTTCGGCATGCCTGTCGGGAATCAAGACAAACCCTGGGTACCTAATTTCACCTGCGAGCAATGCAAACAAAACTCAGGAAGGTAAGATGGACAATTATTGCTCGGAATTTTACGGAATAAAATCTGTTACAATTTAAAAAAATTGTAAAAGTTTTTAATTTTAAAATGTTTTACAATTTTGAATGTTATTGAAAATTTATATCACGTGAAAAATATTGCGAGTATCTCTCACACATTAGTCATGTGTGAAATAAATTTATTTTTGTAGGATGGTACAGAGGGGAAAAGAGAGCCATGAAGTTCGCTATCCCAATAATTTTGCGGGAACCCACTGACAAAACTCAAGCATCTGCTACTTCTGCATGGTGGACCCTTACAAACGTCGGACTGGCAAGAATGCACCTGCTATCACGTATCCGGACCTTCCTTCATCCATCGCCCCGGTGCCACACTGCCATGAGCTCCCTGTACCCACTCCTCCGGAGAGAGAGCAGCCGTCTTTAAAAGAGAGCAGCAAGTCAGAGAGTGAGGAAGATGTTGTAGATCCAGATGACTATTTCAGAGGTGGAGCTGAGGAGAGAAACCCATACTACCTCAACCAAAAAGCCCTCAACGATTTGATCAGAGATCTTGGTTTCACCAAGTCCAATGCCGAGTCTCGGCTCAAGCAGTGAAACTTGTTAGATAAAAGTGTGCAAGTCGCAGATCAGAGGAAGCGTCACCAACCTTTTTGCAGCTTCTTCACCCATCAAGATGGGCTCTGATTCTGCCACAATGTGACCAGTCTGTTCGAGGCAATCGGAATCGCCTGTAATCGGAATGAGTGGCGCCTCTTCATTGACAGCTCATCCAGGAGCCTCCAAGCCATGCTGCTGCATAATGGTAACAAGTATTTGTCTCTTCCCCTGGCTCACTCGGTGCACCTCAAAGAGAATTACAACAGCATCAAGACCTTGCTGGACGCCTTGAAGTATGATGAGTACGGCTGGGAGGTCATCGGAGATTCCAAAATGGTGGCGTTCCTGATGGGTCTCCAAGGCGGTTTTACCAAGTTTCCTTGCTATTCTAGATTTGAAGCTTTCGTGACTGCAAGGATTCATACTCTTTGGTTTTTTCGGTAAAGTCACGTAGGTAAAATAAAATAAATGAAAACAACTAAATTAAATCACGACGTTTCGGAGGCAACACAGCAGGTGGAACAGTCACAGCAAAATAGCTGTATCAAGTGAAGAGCTCTGAGACATCCGAGATTATATACAGGTTAAGGGGGGGGGGGGAGCCAGGAAGGGACGTGGGTGGGGGGGACAGCTAAGTTTTCTCCTTACTAGCTCACTAGTAAGGAGAAAGCGGCTTAGGACAGCTTTGTCGCAGTGGTTTGTGGCTTCTTGGACAATCACAAGGTCGAAAACGATGTGGAGCTGTTTGGGACTCTGGTGAAGAACTACGGCATAATGGGCTGTAGGATGTCCCTCAAAGTCCATATCCTTGATGCTCATCTTGATAAATTCAAGGAGAACATGGGAGCGTACTCGGAGGAGCAAGGCGAGCACTTCCACCAGGATATACTGGACTTTGAACGCCGCTACCAAGGACAGTATAACGAGAACATGATGGGAGACTATATTTTGGGGATTCGTGAAAGTGATTTACAGTATAATCGTAACTCTTGAAAAACTACTCGCTTCTAAATCTTTTGTAGCCATTTTTGTATTACTTTATAAATACATGTTAATTTTGATTCGTATGTTGTTGTTTTCTGGCTTTATGTGAACGAAAAGACACAAATTCGCCCGTTTTCTCATTGAAAATAGGTAAATTTAAAAATATCACTGTCCTGATCACAAAAGCAAATATTGTGGGGAATAATAGCCATTTTCCATTATTTTTAGGCATAAGCAATTAGGAAATAACACTTACTACTCAGGACCAAAAATTATGTTACTTAGTATTCTTTGGTTCTTTCGGTAAAGTCACGTAGATAGAACAAATAAAAATAAAGTGAAAAATAATAAAAACAAATTTTAAGCAAAAATCACTATTGTAGACTAGCCTGGTTCTAAATCGGAGTGAGTGTACTGGCAATCTATAATGTAGACTGTAGCCTGGTTATTATGTAACACTATTTGTTACATAGTGTTATTTTTCCAATTTCACTCGACATTTAGATCTGTACTTACATTTTTTTTTACTTTGGCATTTGTATGACCCCCCGGTCACTCTTGTAAATGAGACTCATCCTCGTCTTGATTGTTTTTAAAATACAAATAAAACCATATTCTCCAGATTATGAAATGCTCATGAAAGTAAAACTCACGAGAAACTTGCATCGGGTGTCAACATAGTTACACAAATCTGGTCTCACACACAAAGACAAAGATCGCCCATATAGCCTAAACAGACTGTTGGGGCAAGTGCTATTAGCGATTAGTACCTATGAAGGCCGGCACGGCACACGAGGGGGTGGGTGGCCAGCATCACGCCCGACCACCTTTGTCTCTCTAGAGAAGATGTTTAAACCCCGGACCTGGTACACAAATGACAACCAGATTATAATACATCTGCTTTAAAATAAAAGGGGGGATAAAGAGCATCTTATAATCGGGAGAATACGGCAATCTGGTGGGCCATAACGGGCGATGGCCTTGAGTTGTAATTTTTTCCCCCGACAGAACTGGAAGGAAAGGTGAGCTCGCGGGAGGAGCAGAACTCAGGGCTGAGCGTCGAGCTCCAGCAAGTGAAGACTGAGTTGTCCGGTAAGGTAGATCAGTGGTCTCTCAACCTTTGGCTACTGGTTACCCCCTTGTGTTCAATTTTGTTTCAACCGATTACCAACCCCCCCCCCCCCCCCCACCGTGTGCCTGACCCTCCATGGTTCTGAGAAATAAATGTATGAATAATGAACATGAATATTTTAATCAATTGTCCATTTTGTGAAGTATCTTAATTTGCTAGTAATTGCAAGCGATTAAAAAATAATAATTCAACAGACGCTCTGCATGCATGACATAATTTATTCGCGCTCGCTGGTTGCTCTTGGAAACCACATCGTTTAGAAACGTCTTTTATATCGTTCTAAGTTACCGTATCGATTCAAATAGTCTGTTTAGGCTATATGGGGGAATCTGTCTTTGTTGTCCAGCGCTGGAGCGTAAGGTGCACTCGGGGGAGGAGAAGGCCGAGCAGCTCGCGCGAGACAAGCAGAAGCTGGAGGAGGACATCGCCCAGATGATCCAGTCTTCCGGAGACAGCTCGGCACAGCTCACAAAGATGAACGATGACATCAGGAAGAGAGACAAGTGCGATTGCCTCTCTTTTTTTGTTGTTTTGCTGTTGGCTGCTCTCTCTGTGGAAATTATGGAGGCAGAGCAACTGGCAAGGTTTTTTCTTCTACGTGGCGGCTCGGCTGTGGGCATTGTAGCGAAAAATCCATCGTCACACTGCGTAGTACTTCTGTGTGTCCACGTCGGCGCTCCCTGCCTTCAGAAACCCGCGTTGACCAGCGTGGGCAAGAGGCCACTCGAAGGGATCTCGGAGACAGCCCCCGTGGTATCCGCTGTTCCCCACGGGTCGTTCTTCATCACGAATGCTTGCCGCTGCTCCACTGGCGGATCCGAATGGACACTTGATAGCACAGTCGGGATAAATAAAAAAAATATAAATACACTTGTTGCGGTGTCACTGCAACATTGACTGTGACCGAATCACGCGCGAAAAATGTGTCTGGAGTTTCAACAGATCTGATAAGTTAAGCAAGGGTTGAACCGAGTGGATGCTGCTCCTGATTGGCAAACGCCATGCGTGGCGCAACAGGGTTGCACCGCTTTGCGAGAGACACGAGCCGACAGGGGCAATGGGGATAGAAACGTGTTGCGTACGTGTGACCAACGTAGCTTCCGCCTCCCCCGCCTCCTCCTCGCGTGACGATGTGTGTCCTGCCAGGCAAGTGGAGGAGCTGCAGGCTAGCCTGGCGCAGGAGCGCGAGTTGGCGGCCAGTGTTTCCGAGAAGCTGCTCGAGTTGGAACGCGGGGCCCAGACGAGCGCGAAGAAGGCGGAGGAGACGCACTTGGCTGAGGTCAACGCTGCCAAAGCCTCCATTGCCGGCCTGGTAGGTGCCCTTTGTCACTCCACTGCTGGATGAATGCCTCCGCCAGTATCACGGTTTTTTTCGTTTACTTTTGGAGCCAGCAAATTATTTCCCCTCCGTTCCCAACAAACCACCGAGGCCGCCGATGACGTGCTTTGCTTTTCGTGCGATTTCTGTTTGCTTCGTTGCCGTTCTTTATTTGATTGCTGTTGTCGTTTTGGTGCCCCAGGTCACGATTGCAATCGAGACTCTCTACCTTGGCCTAGTCAGCTCTCATTTGGTTGAACAAAAACAAACTTGAACTTTGTCATTGATTGCTGGCGATCCAGGAGGCGGAGGTCTCGCGAGCGGAAGCCCTCGGGAAGGAGGAGGCCGAGCGTCTGAAGAGAAATACGCAGAATGTGCAGGAAGCCCTAGAGGAGGTGCAGCGGAGCTTGACTGAGATGACGGCTCGTGCAGAGCAGTCCGAGCGCGAGGTGCAGATTCTGGGGACGCAGGTGGAGAGCGGGAAGGTACGGTGATGATAATTGTCCCGCTATCCCATCATGTGGACGGCTAAATGCTGGAATTTACCAGCGGCAGAATTTAGATGTTGGTGATGGGTAGACGTGGATGATGGGTAGCCCTGGGCGATGGGTAGACGTGGGTGATGGGTAAGACCTGGGTGATGAGTAGACCTGGGTGATGGGTAGACCTGGGTGATGGGTAACACCTGGGTGATGGGTAACACCTGGGTGATGGGTAACACCTGGGTGATGGGTAGACGTGGGTGATGGGTAGAGCTGGGTGATGGGTAGACCTGGGTGATGGGTAACACCTGGGTGATGGGTAACACCTGGGTGATGGGTAGACGTGGGTGATGGGTAGACCTGGGTGATGGGTAACAACTGGGTGATGGGTAACAACTGGGTGATGGGTAGATCTGGGTGATGGGTAACACCTGGGTGATGGGAAGACCTGGGTGATGGGTAGACCTGGGTGATGGGTAGACCTGGGTGATGGGTAGACCTGGGTGATGGGTAGCCCTGGGCGATGGGTAGACGTGGGTGATGGGTAGACCTGGGTGATGGGTAACACCTGGGTGATGGGTAGACCTTGGTGATGGGTAGACCTGGGTGATGGGTAGACGTGGGTGATGGGTAGCCCTGGGCGATGGGTAGACGTGGGTGATGGGTAGACCTGCGTGATGGGTAACAACTGGGTGATGGGTAAAAACTGGGTGATGGGAAGACCTGGGTGATGGGTAGACCTGGGTGATGGGTAGACCTGGGTGATGGGTAGACCTGGGTGATGGGTAAGACCTGGGTGATGGGTAGACCTGGGTGATGGGTAGACCTGGGTGATGGGTAGACCTGGGAGATGGGTAACAACTAGGTGATGGGTAGACCTGGGTGATGGGTAGACCGGGCTGATGGGTAGACCTGGGTGATGGGTAGACCTGGGTTATGGGTAAGACCTGGGGGATGGGTAGACCTGGGTGATGGGTAAGACCTGGGTGATGGGTAGACCTGGGTGATGGGTAGACCTGCGTGATGGGTAGACCTGGGTAATGGGTAAGACCTGGGAGATGGGTGACAACTAGGTGATGGGTAGCCCTGGGTGATGGGTAGACCTGGGTTATGGGTAAGACGTGGGGGATGGGTAGACCTGGGTGATGGGTAGCCCTGGGTGATGGGTAGACCTGGGTGATGGGTAGACCTGGGTGATGGGTAGACCTGGGCTATGGGTAGACCTGGGTGATGGGTAGACCTGGGTGATGGGTTGACCTGGGTGATGGGTAGACCTGGGTGATGGGTAGACCTGGGTGATGAGTAGACCTGGGAGATGGGTAGACCTGGGTGATGGGTAGACCTGGGTGATGGGTAGACCTGGGAGATGGGTATCAACTAGGTGATGGGTAGACCTGGGTGATGGGTAGACCTGGGAGATGGGTAAGACCTGGGTGATGGGTAGACCTGGGTGATGGGTAGACCTGGGTGATGGGTAGCCCTAGGTGATGGGTAGCCCTAGGTGATGGGTAGCCCTAGGTGATGGGTAGACCTGGGTTATGGGTAAGACCTGGGGGATGGGTAGACCTGGGTGATGGGTAAGACCTGGGTGATGGGTAGACCTGGGTGATGGGTAAGACCTGGGAGATGGGTAACAACTAGGTGATGGGTAGCCCTGGGTGATGGGTAGACTTGGGTTATGGGTAAGACCTGGGGGATGGGTAGACCTGGGTGATGGGTAGCCCTGGGTGATGGGTAGACCTGGGTAATGGGTAGACCTGGGTTATGGGTAAGACCTGGGGGATGGGTAGACCTGGGTGATGGGTAGCCTTGGGTGATGGGTAGACGTGGGCGATGGGTAGCCTTGGGTGATGGGTAGACCTGGGTGATGGGTAACAACTGGGTGATGGGTAGACCTGGGTGATGGGTAGACCTGGCTGATGGGTAACAACTGGGTGATGGGTAGACCTGGGTGATGGGTAACAACTGGGTGATGGGTAGACCTGGGTGATGGGTAGACCTGGGTGATGGGTAGCCCTAGGTGATGGGTAGCCCTAGGTGATGGGTAGCCCTAGGTGATGGGTAGACCTGGGTTATGGGTAAGACCTGGGGGATGGGTAGACCTGGGTGATGGGTAGACCTGGGTGATGGGTAAGACCTGGGAGATGGGTAACAACTAGGTGATGGGTAGCCCTGGGTGATGGGTAGACTTGGGTTATGGGTAAGACCTGGGGGATTGGTAGACCTGGGTGATGGGTAGCCCTGGGTGATGGGTAGACCTGGGTGATGGGTAGACCTGGGTTATGGGTAAGACCTAGGGGATGGGTAGACCTGGGTGATGGGTAGCCTTGGGTGATGGGTAGACGTGGGCGATGGGTAGCCTTGGGTGATGGGTAGACCTGGGTGATGGGTAACAACTGGGTGATGGGTAGACCTGGGTGATGGGTAGACCTGGGTGATGGGTAACAACTGGGTGATGGGTAGACCTGGGTGATGGGTAACAACTGGGTGATGGGTAGACCTGGGTGATGGGTAGCCCTGGGTGATGGGTAGACCTGGGTGATGGGTAGACCTGGGTGATGGGTAGACCTGGGTGATGGGTAGACCTAGGTTATGGGTAGACCTGGATGATGGGTAACAACTGGGTGATGGGTAGACCTGGGTGATGGGTAGCCCTGGGTGATGGGTAGACGTGGGCAATGGGTAGACCTAGGTCATGGGTAAGTGGTTTTAGAAATGCGTATGTCATGTGTACAGTGGAATATTGGCCATGTTACAGGGACGGATTGTGAACCCATGCAACCGCACCTTTGCTTTTGGAGCCACTTAAGAAGGAAGAAAAACGAGTGAATTTAAAATGTGGAATGGGACCTTTGCAGATGCCGCCACTCCTTTCATTCCTTGCCCATTTTTATTGTTTTTGAACTTCACGAGGCTAATATCATTTCATAATGGAAAAGCAATTACACTTTTTTTTCTCCCATTTTACGTTACACATTTCTACTTGCTGCCCTCTGTCTTGCCGGTTGTCTGTATTTATTTGCTTGTTTTTATTTTGCTGCTTTTTATTGTTTTTACTTTGCCCCCCCCTCCCCTCCCCTCCCCCAACCCGCCGCAACCCGCCGCACCCCCCCACACACACAACACCTTCCACAGTCGCTAACCGTCGAGCTAGCCTCTGCGGAGGCCGAACGCGCGCGCCTGTCGCACGAGCTAGACGCCTTGCTCTCGAGCCACGGCGCGGCAGTGGCCGAGCGAGACTCGCTCGCCTCCGAAAAGGAATTGACGTCGAGCCGGCTCGCCGACCTGCAAGCACGCTGCGTCTCGCTGTGCGGGGAGCTAGACGCGGCGCGGGCAGGGCAGCGGGAGCTCTCGCTGGGCCGCGACGCCCTGCTCGAAGAGAAGGAGGCTCTGATCGCCGAGGGCCGGAGGCTCGAGGCCGAGGCCGCGTCCCTGCGGCAGGACCGTGACGCGCTCGGGGAGCGAGTGGAGAAGGACCGGCAGATCGGAGAATCGGTCGCGGCGGAGGCGGCGATTGTGACGGAGGAGCGGGACGGGCTGAGCGAGGCTCTGCGGGAGGAGAAGGAGAGGCGTGGCGCCCTTGAAAATGAAGTGGAGAGCTTGAAGGCCGCACTGGCGGAAATGAAGGGTCAAGTCGAAGCTGGAAGATCTGAAGCCGGCAGTCTGGCAGAGGAGAAGAAGAAGCTGTCAGAAGAGCTCGGCGACTCTCGATGCAAACAAACCGAGGCGGATGCCCTAGCGCGGCAGTTGCAAAGCGTTGTTGAGCAGCAGGCAATCGACCTGACAACGGCACGCACGAGCAACACGCAGCTCAAGGGTGAGGCTGAAACGCTGGCGGCTGCCGTCGAGGACTTGAAAAGCGGCAAATTGCGTGCGGAATCGGAACGGGATGAGCTGCTAGCGTCATCCGAACGGCTTCGGAGCGAGCTCAGCTGCACCAAAGAAGATGTCGCCAAACTCGAGGCGGAGAAGGAACGTGGTGCGGGCCTTCTGCAGGACACCCGGGGTGGTCTGGAGGTCGCCGAGAACGAGAGAGACGCATTGAAAGAGGCAGTGAAGGCAGGCAAAGCCGAAAACGAGTCGCTGAGACTGGAGAGCGAACGCGTGTCGGCAGAGAACGGGCGGCTCGCGCGCATGCTGGAGGAGCTGCGGAGCGACAGCAAGGTGACGGACTCGGAGCGCGCGGCCCTCCTGCAGGAGCGCGAGAGCCTCGTCTCTCGCCAGGAGGAGCTGCTGGCCACTCAGCGGCGCCAGGACACGGAGAACGCCACGCTGCAGCAAGACGGGGAGGAGATGCGCAAGCAGGCGGCGTCTCTGCGCGCCGAGCTAGAAGCGATGGCTGGGAGACAGCGGGAAGCGGCGCTGGAGAGAGAGGAGATGGCCGCCAAACAGAAGGAGGTCGAGTCGGAGTGTAACGCGTTGAAGAAACAACGGGACTTGCTGGCGGAAGAAAAGGCGTCTCTCGAAGCGAACGTGTCTTGCCTGAGTAGGGATTTGGAAGACGCGGTCGCTAAGCATCAAAGCGATTCGGCCAGGGAGCAGGAGCTGATCTCTAAGCAGGAGGAAATGATGCTGGCGCAGTCCGAGCTGGCGACTCGGCGTGATGATCTGTCGAAGGAGAACGAGGAGCTTCAAGATCTGGTGTCGGCTCTGCGCAAAGACCTGGACGACGCAGCCTCGAAGCAACGGGAAATGGCGACGAGGCAGCAGGAGTCCGACGCCAAATGCGAGAAGCTCGACACGGAGCAGCAGCGGCTCACGAATGAGTACAACGCTCTGCTGAGCTGCAACGCTCGGTTGCGGGACGAGACGTCGGGCTTAAGGAAAGACCTAGAGGAGGCCGGCATCTTGCAACGGGAGGCGGCTGCAAGAGAAGGGGAGCATATCGCAAAGTACGAAGCGCTCGCTGCGAAACTGGAGGAGGTGGGAGCGGAGTGTGAATCTGCGAGCAAGGAAAACTCGGAGCTAAAAGAGGAAGTTGTCGCGCTGGTGAGGGCTGCCGAGGAGGCGGACCTAACCCGACGGGAGATCGTCGCCGCGCAGCAGGAGGGGGCCGGCAAGCAACTCGAGCTGATCTCCAAGCAGCAGGAGCTGGAGGCTGAGCGTGAACGGCAGGCGGAGGAGATGGCGCGGCTGCGCGAGGAAGCGTCGTCACTTGGCGAGCGGTTGGAAGAGGCCGCCACGGGCCGCGAGCGGGCGACCGCCGAACGGACGCGGCTGGAGGAGGAGCGCGGGCGACTCGAGGGCCGCTGCTCGGAGCTTGGCGAGCTGGCCGCGGCTCTCCGCATCGAAATCGCGGAGGCGGCCGCGAAGAGGGAGCAGGCGGAGTCGCTTTGGCGGGAGGTCGAGGCGAGGGAGGCGGCGCTGGCGGAGAAGCGGCGGAACGCGGAGGGGGAGCGCGACGCGTCGGCCGGGGAGTGCGCAGAGCTGCGCGCCCTCGTCGCTTCCCTGCGGAGCGAAACGGAGGGGGCGGTGGCGGAGAGGGAGCGACAGGAGGGCGACGCGCGCGAGCGGGAGCGGGCTGCCGTCGCGAAGGCGCTGGATGAAGAGAGGGGATGCTGGCTGAAGAAGGAGGAGGACACGGCAGCGCAGTTGAAAGAACTCGAGTTGATGTGCTCTGCCAAATCGGCGCAGGCAGAGGAGGTATCTGGGATGCCGCAAAAATTAGATTACATGTCTAATGAGCTTGAATCGAGTCACAATCTGACTTGCTTAACCAGCATCCTCCTGTCCAATTACCTCATGCAAATGTCGTCTTATCTACTGACTCTACCTCTGCACGTGTTTTGCTTCTTTGGAAAAAAAAATAACATGACAGTGTGTGCTTTACACTGTTCACATTGTGTTCAATTGGTAATTTCAGTATTTTATTTAATTGAAGAAAGCATGTCCAGAGGGATGTCACATTTTCTCATTTCTTCATGCATTCCACTCGAATTTTTTTTTAACACTCCACACTTAAGCTTTGCTTTAATGAGATATTAACGATCATGCTTTGCCTGTGTGACGCCTCTTAAGCACATTTACTGTTTACACGGTATTTGACACCTAGGATTTTCTCCGATCATATTCTCCGGATTGTCAGACGCTTTTGAAAAGTAAGAAACACCCCAATAATTTCATTATAATCTGATGACACGCACGCATCTTCATACGCGACGCTCTCTGTAGCACCATGGGAAACCATCCCCCCCAGCACAACAGAGAGATTGTTGGCAGGCTGGAAACAAATAGGTTTAACAAAAATACGACTGGTAGGGTCTGGAACAGGCTAAGGGCATTGTACATGCAATGTGGTGATCACATCATGATAGGTTTGCAAGGCATGATGGGAGTTGGGCCTACCCTGCTGTTTGCACGCACCCATCTCCAAGATTATAAACACAAAATAACTCTATGCATTCGTCATTAACACATTGTGTGTGTGACCTTAAAAAACGAATTATAAATATAATAGGCGACGTTTTTGGCACTGTCCCTTCTTCTTAGCGCATTTGCTGCTCAGGTAGTGTTATTGATGAATGTGATGGAGGTTTTTAGTTTAATACTGGATTATGTGATGGACACATCCCCAAATACAGCGGTGGGGGTGGGGGGGGTGAAAATGCACCTCTTGTAATCCGGAGGATATGGTAATGAGGTGTTCTTACCTACTCTTGTCTAGAAATTGAATCCTCTGAAATCTTTTTCTCACAAACCATTCATTTCCATCGATTGCGAGACGATTGAGAAGGCAGCGTGATTCTGCACATCGTCGAAGTGATTAACCCCTCCCCTCCCTCGTCCGACCTCCAAGCTCCCCCCTCCCCCCCCCCCCCGACTCCCCGAACCGCACGTCGCGTCTCTAATAATTCGGCGTGCACGAGCATCGACGCGTGACCAAACGAACCGACGAGAACCCACCGAGCACATGGAGTTTACAAAGGCGCACGCATGCGCCGCCCGGAGGGAGGGCGTCCGGTAAGGAGCACGGCCCCATTTACTTGGAAGGGTGCAATGCTTGGACTTGCATCAGCATGCGCCTTGTTTTTTTTTTCCGCGCTTGAACGCGGTGACATGTTGCGTTGGCTCGTGTATAATTCTACCGCTCGCACGGCCACTGACCCTGTTGCATTCTCTCCGTCGCCAGATGAGAAAGAGACTTGGACTAACCCTCCACAAAGTTTCAATAATTTATTCAAACATTAACCTGTTCAAATTGGCGTTTACAAATGAAGGTTGACGTCGCGTTGCCAAACTTATGGCTTTAAATCAACCTGATCATTAATATTATTGTTCTAATGGCATGATTTTAATTTGTTTAGCTGGATGATAATTTATGTATGGGTACCTTTTATTAAGGAAAACACACCTTATTAAAGGAATCAAGTATTGATTAAATTCAATACATAATGTGCTTTGGGTATGATGCTTAGCAGGTCACTGCATTTCAAACACGTCTTCCCTTGGTGTGTTTTGTTGTTGTTTGTGTCGGTTGTGGCGGTGCCTTTAAACAGTCGCTTAAAGCCAATGAAGAGCTCCTGCAGAAGCTGAGCAAGCTGCAGGGTGAGAGAGAGGCCCTGGCGGAGACAAATGCCAGCATCTCCACGACCTTGCAGAAGACCAACGATGCCAACAACAGATTGACCCAGGAGGTGATCGCCATTTTATTTCACTCACTATTATTATCGTTAAGCATACGGTACAACGTCGCTTATCCGACCGTCCGTCACATGTTTGGCCTAACCAATTGACTGCCTTCGACCCACGCGGTATTTGTGCGTGGTTGTAAAATGGTAAATTTCGAACTCTTTGGTTCTTTCGGTAAAGTCACGTAGGTATAAAATAAAATAAATCACGACGTTTCAGGTGGGAAAGCATGGTCTGCTGCTGAGGCAGACTGTTTTAAAAGGTTTGAAATGGGTGTAGGTCAAGAGTTATAAAGAAGTGGCCTGGATATTGTATTTGCAATGTCCTGGAGTCTACAAACTAAGTTGCACCTGTGGTGGCTGTTACATTGTGGAAACGAAACGACATATCTCGGACCGTGTTCGCAAACACAAGTCAGATCTGAAACACGGCAGAACCAATACCTCCGCCGTTGCTGACCATTGTTATAACGCTGTGGGCTCGCATGATATTGTTTTTTTCCGAGACCAAGGTACTCTGCAAACCTTCGGGCTACTATCAAAGGTTTGTTCATGAAGTCATCCAGATATATAAACATAGCCATAATTTCAACCGAGAAGATGGATACAAAATGAGCAATCATTGGAAGGATGTTATTAACCAGGTAAAACCCCAACTGCTTTGGAGTGGTTGCTGTCTATCATATCTGCCGGGTACCACTACTACTCTATTTTTCCAAGTTAACCTCTCCTCCGCATCCCTAGCTCTCTCGGCCTCCCACTCCCAGCCCCGCCTACTTCCCCCCCCCCCCCAGCCTCACGTACTCCCCCTCGCGTACTCCCCCTCGCGTACTCCTCCTCGCGTCCACGCAGCGCTCCCCCTACCCCACACCCCCACTCCTCCCTCTCCCCCCTTGCTCCTCCCCCTTTCTTACCGATATAACCTCCTACCACGGCAACTCTCTCTCCCACTTCAGCAAAAAAAAAAAATCTTACTGTGGTTTTCCCACCTGATGATGATTGCTTGTGTTGCAATCGAAACGTCGTGATTTAATTTATTTTATTTTCTACCTACTTACGTGACTTTACCGAAAGAACCAACGAGTATGGATCCCTGCAGTCACGAAAACTTCAAATCTAGATTGTTGAATTCCGACCATATATTTGTTTATTGGTTACATATATATTTCATTAAAATATACTCAACCGATGGTAATTAATCTGCGCATCGTATTTTACCTGCCTCAGTGGAACATACTCTTTGGTTCTATTGGGTAAAGTCACGTATGTGACTTTACCTACGTAACTTTACCCAATAGAACCAAAGAGTATGGATCCTAGCAGTCACGAAAGCTTTAAATCAGTGGAACATCACTTTTGAAATGGTGTCCAGGGTTATGGATGTTGTATTTTGCATGTTGCCGAATCAGGACCTCTTCACGTGCGTGCTCTTAAATCTCTTGTATGCATATGCTCGCTTCTAAGGCCCAGCCAAGTATTTTCCCGTGAGATAGTATATTTATTGAACTTTTTTCGCACCGTACCTAGCCAACCGTGCTAATCGGAGGTGTACAGCAGCATACACTTTATTCGTATCCACTAAACCTATTAGTGCGTGGTGTAGCCGTCGTTCAATAGACATTGACGTATCCAACCATTTCTCACATCTGCCTATACCTCTTGTCCCCACTGAGTTCGATATGCGACGTTGTACTGTACAATTTAAAATGAAAGTGCAGCGCTCTTGTCAAGCCACTGTTGTACGAAGGCCTTTCCACATCGTTCCGATTATGGGGGTTGGCAGACTGCTTCACCACACTGGTCTGTGCTGTGGGATGGCCAAGTGGGAGAATGGCTCAGGACCGGTTGGGATATCACGCACCACTCATGTTAGCCTTGGCCCACAGTCAAAGTCTAGGCGGTGGTTTCTTTGGACAGGGCACCAATCACTATGCCATCGCTCCACACAGTTCACAGAATATACATATGTGCGTATGTTGAGCTTCTTTCAAAACTATACGTAGCCAACCATGCTAATCGGGAGGTGAAATCCGCTCAAGTCTCCCGTAAACCATGTGACCTCCGCGTGTGGCCACGCCCACTTTGAACCCCTCCCCTCTCCGCGCCGCCGCCCACTGTGAAAACAAAACGCCGCTCCCCCGTGCAGCAGCAGCATCGGGGCCCTCGTGTAGCCTCTTCCTCCCCATCCTCATCTCTCTTGACTCTTTGCTCCAGTTTTTTGCTCCTTTTCCTGTACATATTTATTTATACGTATGTAGTGGGTTCCACGGAGGCACACACATCAGCCACCTGGCCCTTGAGTAGTCATACTGGATACGTACACACCCATCGACACAATATGGACGTCAGGGTCCCCTGCCAGAGTTTCAGTTTCATTTGGTATCGCCCTGTGAGCCATTCGGCTCTTGAATCGGGTGCAACCGCAACAAACAAAAAAACTAAAATATGAACAAGAAAACATCTTAAAGTGACTACGCGCAAACAGAAAAATCCAGGAAAAACCAGCAAAATCTTCCAGAAAAATCACCGTACACCAACGCTGTGTGCAAAAATACCAGTGGGATTCAAGTCAAACAACAACAACCACAAAATAACTTAGATTAAAGCAATCAGTTTAACTCCGTACTACAACAAATAAACATGGCCAAACCAAAAAACATTTTCTAAATCACCAAAATGAAGCCATAAAAGCAATGTAACAGTGATCATAGGAACTGTGACCGAAATTTCACAATAAACGACCTAAACAACATGTACCACCAAGCCCTGTAGCCATAGCTGGCTGCATGAATCACTCCACAACAGCAGGAGCATCAGTAGGAGTATCAAAAATTTTCAATGCACCTTTAAAGATCACACACTAAATCAAAACACAAGATCATACTTTGCAGCAGTCATCCGGAGCAAAACATTTGATTTGAATAGTGTCAGCTAGGGGTGTACAATTCCTCTAGAGCAGTTTTGAGTGAAGATCTCATAGGTAGTGATTCAACTTGCAGTTTATTGGCAATAGCATTCCAGACCCTGGGGGCATCAATAGCAAAGGCCCTTCCTCCAGTATTTGTACAGCAATAAGGAATGTGAAGCTGGTAAATGAGCGAAGACCTTAGGTCACATTTGTTCTTTGAAACAGGAGATCCAGCAGGTAGTCTGCGGATTTTTTTGTAAGTACATCGTGAATAAATAAGATCTGATGTACAAGCCGTCGATCATTAAGAGATGTTGCGTTTGACCCATTGTAGAGATCACAGTGGTGGATCCTATATGGGCAGTTCAGTGCAAATCGAGTGATAAATTGAGTCAAGCTTCTTCAGTACAGTGCTGGGGGCTAATTTATATACGATGGCACAGTAATCAAGTAGAGGCAGTATGGTAGCTTTTATCAATTCCAAACGGAACATAGGGGGGAGGCAGTGCAACCATCCCATCACTCAGGTGGTGATAGGGCGAAGTCTGAACCATCCAGGTGCTTATCCACCTCTTAATTAGATTGTGGACGTCTTCCGACATCCTGGCTCAAAGAAGTCGCGCTTCGAGGTCGACCCACATCCTGGGTAAAAGAAGTCGCGCTTCGAGGTCGACCCACATACTGGGTCAAAGAAGTCGGGCTTCAAGGTCGACCCAGTATGCTGCACCCTAAGGTGCAGCAACCGTTAGTGTGCAGCCGCTATACTTTGCCCCATAGAACGGTGGGTACCACACAGTTATAGCGTTGCAATTCTCCATCCCACACATCAGCAGCCCTCCTTTGAGGATCACTGGGGACATTTATAGTCGCCCTTTACCACCCTCCCGTCTTTCTGACGCGGCGTCTCACTTTTCAGTCGCACGCATCGGCCGTATCGGGGGGGAATTTTTAACAGTCTCTCTCACCAGGGCTCGCATCGCAGCGTTAGCTGTACACAATCGAAACGGAGAGGACAAAAACGCAAAAGGACAGACAGATGGAAGATCAACGTACCCTCGATCCACCAAGATCTTAAGAGGCATTCTCGCACCAAAAACAAATCTGTGCAACACAGACAGGATACAGCCATTGACCTTGAACAAGCACCGGACCGGTTGTTTGGATCTCCCAATAAATCAGTCCAACAACAGACAGGATACAGCCAGTGACTTTGAACAACACTGGACCTGCCATTTGGATATACCCATTAACAAAACACGGGCTCAGAGCACCTGAACTCTACGGCAACAACAACAACAAAAAAAAACGAAGTTACAACGCGGACAACTGACACGGACGCCGTGGCCAATCCGACACCCAACGCAACCCGATCCTCACGCCCCGCAACCGGGCGAGGAGTAACAGCAAACAAATCCCACCTGGCGCATGAAAACGATGCATGGTGTGTCTGCAAGGCACTGGTGTGAGATGTGTCGCGACTCGCCTGAGGACCCAGAGGTGAGCGGAGGACGGCAGAGTGGAAGTCGAACGGCGTCCCGCGGCATCCTCTTGAGACGTGACCCGGCGGGCGGCACTCAAAGCAGATGACGGGGGCGCTCCTGGCACGAGTGAAGGTCCTCCCCTCCGCAGGCGTCGGTTTTTGGCGGGAGACGTGATTTGGCGGGAACCCGCTCCCGCCCGGCTGACAGAATGGCGGCCGCGCGCGCTGGCGGGCCGCGTTTCTTGGGTTTCCCGCGCGTGGGAAACGGCAACGGCGGAGCCGTCTCCCCGTGGATCCCCCGGCACACCGACTTCACTTCGCGGTCCCTCCAGTTCCAACACGGCGACCCAACGCTACTGGTGCGGCAAAAAAAATCGACGGGGCAGGCGCTGCGCGTCAGGCGCTTGCTCCCCAACGGCGGCGGCGCGGAGACGTCGGCTCCCTCCCGCTATCGAGCCGCCTTGCAGTCTTTAACCGGGCTGTCTGGGGAATCACCCCCTCGTCGTCCTCTTCATCCATAGACGCCTTGGTGAGTCGTTTTCGTCCCGTAAACATCGCCCTACACTAGGGCTATCACCTAGCTATTTTTACCACTTCTGACGCCAGATGTGTAGTGGG